CCATAGGTGTGGCATCGATTGCAATATCGAAGAGTTACACAATAAATTGCTGGCCTTTTGGGGTAAGGGTTTGAGGAAGGAACTATTATATGCGTGTTTCTCTTTTTGGAAGTCGTTCTAAATTCGCGCCCCCGGATTGGAATAAGAGAAGGTACGGGATGCTTTTTAGTCAGTAAGAGTTTTACACTTCCTCTCTTCCCATCCAGCCATAAAATACACAAAACTTTACAGAACACAAAAAAACACATATACAATAAATTGGTTGTAAAATGAAACAAGGGTTTACTAATATAGAAGTAGTAATAAATACTCTTGCTGTATTTACACAGTGGATAAATAAAGGATAAATAAATAAAATTGAAGTTTTATTTGACTGCACGGTTGGTGCGGTGGCTGGGCAACGTGTCGCGGGTTCGATTCCCGCACGGAATAACTCTTTGTGTGATCCACAAATTGTTGTTCCGGGTCTGGGTGTCATGTGTATGTATTGTGAAATTGTATGTTTGTAACCGCACCCACGACACAGGAGAAAATCCTAATGTTTAGGTAATGTAAAGTTTTTTTTTTCGTTTTTAAAAAACTTTGAACTGTTTTTTTTAAAACGAAAATAAAATAAGTTTTATTTTTAACATAATTTGATTGATGGCAAGCTGTTACGGCAGAAGGAATTGCGACCCTTACAATACTACGTATTTATATTTTGTGCAACACACATTTAAATATTCACTAATGTTGTAGGGTTCGCTCCACTCAACCGTAACCGTTATCAGCAAAGTCCTCAGGGGTTCATTGCACAAAAATTGCCGTAGAGGTAACACCACCTTTACGGCACAACAAACATTATTATAATGAGACTAGCGGCCCGCCTCTGCTTCGCATGGGTTTCCAACTATCTCACTAACGACGAATCTGGATTATAGGGACCCTCCCTATAATCCAGATCTCCCCTTTACTTTTCTAAAATTTTCTTTCAATAACCTTCTCCTGTCAATAACAAACACAACAAAAAAAGAATTGGGAAAATTGGTCCAGGCGTTGTTGAGTTATGCGCTTACCAACACATTTTGCGACTCATTTTTATATATGTATATATGTATAGGTATACTTATTGTATACTCATTTTTATATAAAGAATATGTCATATTATTGTAGAGAACATGCCATTAAAATAATATTCTAAGTAATGTGTTAAAGAGTGACATGTTATTTACATTGTTTGTTGTGTGGTAATCAATCTACCAAAATTTTGTGCAACGAGCCCCCGAGGACTTTGCGCATTAGCTCGCGGCCCCATGTATCCGCATTGCATTATAATAATTATGCAGCCATTATTATTATATTAATTGGAATTAAAATAGATGTCCAAGTTTATCAAATAATTTATTATACCTACCGAATAAAGCATAGGCAGAAAATTTATTCATTCAAGAACTTTCTAATTGTTCCTACTGTTATTATATTATAATATATATTTCGAAGTAGCATGATTAATACAAAGTAATAAAAGACAATTAGAAATACCTGTTCACTCTTCAGTTTAAGAATGTCTTGTGCGAGTCTGAATAGTGTTTTCAAGTCAGTAAAGTTCAATTCAATATCATCAGCCTCCATCCAACATAGACTTTCACACAATTTCTCTTTGTCAGTTTGTGTGAGTTCCTTCTGTGAGAAACTCAATATTTCTCGCCAATCCGTTTCCACCATTTTACCTTCTTAACTTTTATCTGTTACCTTAAAATAATATGCAACACAGATTTGACAACTTACTTTTATCTGTTACCTTAAAATAATATGCAACACAGATTATTTTAAGGTAGGCTAGTTAGAAACTGCAATGCGCGTGTGACTCATTTCCGTAAAACTATTGTTTGTTTATATTGACGACGTTGCTAGGCAACGCTATTTATGTGAATGTTGCCATAGTGGAAATTGTTGTTGCTTGTTTTTCTGAATATGTAAGAGACGCATACCTATGTCCTAAGATAAAAAAAATATGTAGTAAGTAGAGTAAATGAATGACATAGTTATTTTACTTTCCAACATAAAAAAAAACACAATAAAAAGGTATACGAATTTTGTGGGAAAACTAGCACATACTTACTGGCTGATTCTCATAAAAACCTATTTGGTACCATTGGCGGTGCATAAAAAGAGGTTTATTTTTGTTTACATTTTTAAGTTAACTGTTAGTTTTTCACATAAGTGGCAAAGAGTATGTAACCACTAACGCCCGGTTCCTATAATTGAGAAACGATCCGTTTTAATTACGAATAGTAGTTTTATATACGACTCGTAAGCTAAAACCGTTCCTATAATAAACGTCTCGTCGTGCAACTTACTGACGGTTTGCAACTAACGGATATCGGTAAACGAATTGTATGGAGATCTATGGTGTCTGTGTGTTCCTATAAATGTTTTAACCGTCAGTAGACGGTCAAGATAACCATTCGTAATGTCATTTAGTCGTATTGCGTGTACAACGACGATTCGTTAAATATAGGAACCGGGCATAAGTGGCATCAGACTTGATTCGTTGATTATGTACGCTGGTTTAATATATTAACAAAAAAGGTTTCTTCCCCAATAAAATAAATTAATTTATGTCAATTTATAAATTAAGTAGAAACTAGAAGGGGCTGGATAATTATTTTCCTTTTATTCCTGTTATATTCTCTTTCCTTACCAAGATGTTTTTTTAGGATTGTTTTTGTTTGACTAGCGTTCTTGATTGCTCGGTTTAGGGACAGCCTACTAGCGATCATACCATCCAATCCATCGGAACTTAGGCATTTGAGGCACGATGATGGGATAAAAACGTACCGTCTGATCGGTGCTATATTCGAATGAAAACCTTGACTAACATTCCTTAGTAAAGTGAAAAGTTAAAGTCAAATATCATTTGACTTTAACTTTTCACTTAAAATAGATAGATAAACTCTTTTTAATTTCAAACTAAAAGATCGGTTTGATCGGTGCTATATTCGAATGAAAACCTTGACTAACATTCCTTAGTAAAGTGAAAAGTTAAAGTCAAATATCATTTGACTTTAACTTTTCAATTAAAATAGATAGATAAACTCTTTTTAATTTCAAACTAAAAGTCAAAACTGTCTGGCTGTCGGTTTGTCCTCTCGTAAAGCTATTTGTTCATTCCAATAAAGAAGTCGTTGCCCGGTCCAGAGCAGGAGAAGGAACAGGGTGGATTTTAGTCGGTAAGAATGATACTTACTCTCTCTCACGCCACCTAGAGCAAGAGATGTCGTTTGATTTGATGATATTCCCCCATAAAAAAGTTCCGTACAACACAAAACTTTTCGAGCTAACATAATATGTGTAGTTACAGGGTCGAGGTACTTACTAAAATAAATTCGAAGAATAAAAATAAAACAATTAAATAAATACAAAGATTATTTTATTAGGTGTGATGATATTGAACAATAGCAGTTAATGTTACATTGTATGTCGAAGTGTCAACAACAAAATAAAACATTTGTGCTTTAATTAAAAATAAATTAACAAAAATAAATACAACAATACAATAGGTTAAGGGATTGTGAAATAATTTGAGTTTATACAAACGAAGCATTGACATAGGGCGAGGGATAGAACTTTGGTAATTAACTTTTACATGTGTGTTTCTCTAATATCCCTTCATTATTTCTGCAGACAAGAGACTCTTCTCCTTGATTACAAAATACAGAAACCATTGTACTTTAAACCTTAAATCGTTTATGCAAGATTGATAATTCGTCTCCCGTCTGCTTACGACCAACACATAAACAACAGCAAGAAAATATTATATAGGACCAAATAATTGTAAACGTTGCAAAAATAAAGTTCGAATTTCTGATCGATGACTAGACATTATTATTTAGAAAACAGTTAATACTTTTGATAGAAAGTTATATAAAAATGAAGTATATATGTATAGATGTGTGAACACATGACTCTATGATTCATACATAGCACGCATATTTCTTAATATCGATACAACTTATATTAAATTAAGCATACAATATTGTCAAACGTTGCCAAATAATTACTCGCCCTATATATACTAACCATTGCGTAGTCTTGAGTATTATATTATAGGTATATATGTGGTAACTAACACCCATAAGTTAATTCATATTCATAGTCTATGGTCACAACTGTATCGCCAATGCTAACAAAACGTCGAAACTTTGTTACCTCCAGAATTTAACTACAACTACCAATCCAAAGTTTGACTTTTGCAGATATGTAATCCATGTATTGATGTATATAAATCGGTTAGTATTTTAGAATTAGTAATCCAGCTTCGACCTTTTAAAATATCACTTTTAAAAGACGAGCCCAAACAAGTCACTCCTAAGTTATAAATAAATACTACGCTAAACAATTTTACAAGTATATAAGTATTTTTATTATTTTTTTACAATTATACAACATCGTAATTATCAGATAAACATACTCTTTGGGACGCATAAAACAACTTTGGATAGATTACATTGATGTGTCGCGGTTAGATTCTCTAGTCCACGGATGACAGAAGCGAAAATAAAGGTACACCGATACATTCATACGATCTACTGTTAGTATGTTAGGCTTGAATGAAGCAACAATACCGTACTTAATGGTACGCTTTGGTCAGCCACTGGTTCCATCGAAGACCGACTCCCGTAGGCCACGGGATACAAACTTAGCTTACATCCTTTGTACAAAATATTATAAAAAGTCATGGCGTAATTTTGGTATCATTTGACGATAGACTCTAAGGTACAATAAGGGATATATTTAACATAGATCGGAGCTTACACTTAATATATGACCTTCACCGTTTCGTGGTAAAGAATACGTAGTTGAGGGCGCGGTATACAAATCTATTAGGTATATCATCATAGAAGGTAGATCGGGGTATTTAAGGTAGATTAGCTTTAAACTAAAACAATGTTTTGTTTGCATAATTTTGATTTCATTACACTTAAATGTTCATGTATATTCACTGGCTAAGTATCGGGTCACGGAGTAGTGAACGAATGGAGTGTTAGGTGGGAGAAGTTTGTTACTAGTTCACTCGTTTGTAAGTCCTTTATTGTATTGTAATTGACTACTCCGTGTTTGATGTCTATCCAACGCAGTATGGTCAGTGAATATGTGGCGTGTAGTGTTATCGCGGGCGGCGCGCGCAGAGCGTGGCGCGACGCAGGCGCCGCAACAGCGACGTCTCGCGCTATCAGATGCGTTCCACGTAGTTTCCTGTACCAAGGAAGAAAGCGTTATTTGTAAGATTGACATCAGCTCATTTCACATCACATCATCAGCTTATATGTGTCCAATGCTGAGCAAAGGCCTCTTCTCACATGGAAAATGTTTGAGCATTAATCACCACGCTCGAGGCGGATTAGCGATTTCAAACTTATAATTAGAAATTATAAGTCCAGGTTTCCTCAAGATGTTTTCCTTTACGTATGTTAATAAAGTAAAAATAATCATGGAAAGTACATATAACTCGGAAAAGTCACGTTGGTACTTGTCAGGTTTCGAATCCTCATGAATAAATAAAAAAGGCGCCTTAACCTTCGTGCCACCACGACCATGTAATCAAATCATTTACGTCAATAAAATAAAGTTGCTACCTTTATGTAAACGTAAGGTAGCTGTTCGACTAAAGAGTTTCTCATTCAATAAAGTTATCTTTTTGTCTATTTAATAACCTAGATTTAAGTTTATATAGAAGAGGATCGTACCTGGGAAGGTTCCGAAGCGTCCCGTGCGCTGGCTGGAGCCGACGTACCATCCGTCGTCACATTTCTCCAGGACGTACACTGTGTCACCCTCGTTCAGTTCTAGTTCATCAGGGTTCTGCGGTCGATACTTGTACATAGCGCGGTATCTGTTGTAAAATAATTTTTATTTTGTTAGTTATCAAAATCTTAAAGATAAATTTATTTCCCAATACAAATTATAAAAGCTGTATGATCATTTTGGAGGGAGTAGAAATAGTTTTTATCAGATTTCGGTTTTATTGAAAAAGTTGTTTTATTTGAGCATCAGAATCGGGTGCTTGAATACGCCCCCTTTAACCTAACTCTCTGTATAATATATGGTGTAGTTAAAAAGTATAAATATGCAGAATTACTACAGACAACGATGTCGCAGAACAGGGACGTTCAATGTGATCTAATTAATTTTTATAATGAAATCGCATCAAGCATCTTTCTAAACATTACCATAAATATTAACATACATAATTTCCTCATAAAAAATTACAAGAAAAATGAATATGAATATACTAACGGTATGGCCTCCGCATTGGTGTCCACATACAAGGGCTCCGTGTTATTGAGGTCAACGCCCGCGCCCGTCGGCGGCCCGTAGCCGCGCTCTGATGGCGTCAGCGTCGCCTGCGCAGGTTTCGCGACGTAACCTGAGATATGACGTCACAGTTAATAACAACAGATGTAAATTATATAGAAGACAGAAATCCTTTATGTATGTTTATAGTAAAGAAGATATACATATATATCGTTTTACTTTATTGTCGTGTAAAGATAAGCAGTTTTAATGTCATAAAACTTGGAATTATTACGCATTAATTTACTTATAGTCAGCCAATTTAGACCTTATTATTTTTAGGCAAAGTTGAAAGCTTTTTATAGCTGTGCTAAGTAAACCAAGGTTTTTAAGACTATATGACAAAACTGTTCATAAGTGACTTTGCACCAATTCCGTATTGTAACTTGAGATTAAGGTACAAGACCATAAACAATGCGGTCTGCGGTTCTTTTGACACGAATAGGAATATATGTGTGTCACCATTTGTGTGGTGGCATTCAGCAGAACAATGTTACAGCATATAACGGGATATAACAACAAAAAACATTTCATTTAATTCATTTAAAATCGAATTTTAATACGAAAATAATCGTAGAGATATTTCTTAATTTGACGCAATGAACTAAATAAAAAAAAAAAAAGACAACGTGGCAATTTTTACAGTTCCTAAATATTTTTATGACCAATTTTTTTGACAGGCAATATTTGACGTGGCAATATTTAATGTTTTCTGTGATTAATCCATTTAATACATCATCTATGTTATTAACAACGAATGTCAGAGATCAGTTTTGTACCTGGTAGTGGCTGGGTGGCCGGTGGTGCATTTGAGAGTGCAGGGCTGTTTGGTTGAGGAGTGTAGCTATGGGAGCCCATGCTGCGTTTTGCAGAGCCATTGAGTAGACCGTGAGCTGCTGGAGATGCCACTGGCTTGTCACTGTTTAGTATTGGCTGAGGATCTGGAAATATAGAAGAATGATTAGCGTTAGTATTAGCAAATATATAAATACATATTAGTACTAATTGTGTTCTTTTTTACATTAATTATAATTATATAGGTATTATAGGTGGTTTTTTTTCTTAAGTTCACAAAATTTTTTCATATTGCATATTTTTGTTATTGTTATTTAATTCGAAAATCTATTGTTGAAGGGCCATGCATCAAATAATAAATTGATATTATAAACGTGTTCAATTAATAATATTTGCCTTAAGCTGTTCCATTACTTCATTTTTACCCTAGTTTATCAAATCTAGAGATCTACAACTATGTATTTTTAAAATGTATAAATTATTACCTTTTGACTGATAAAATGCTACAAAAATAGAGGGATATTCTCAATATTTTAATAAAAGGGCTTATGCAGCAGATACAGTACTGATAAATTGACTCATCGTTCGATAAGATAAAGTTATGGAATTTGTTGGCTAAAATTACAATATGGTGAGTCAACCTCATTAGTCAAACGCTTTGTTTATTATCTTGCGTAATGATAGATGCTATTTTCGCGGTAATGTGATGTTATGACAGTGACAGTTCAGAATTTGCCGCCAATTCGTCTATGATTGCGAAAAAGTTTGGTAATAAAAAAGGTTGAAAGTAAAAAAAGTATTAAGTTTATGCTAACTTTACTTGTGTGATGTCTGAAGACTGACATCATCGATCTTTTATCGTCAATTCTTGAATGTAGGGCGCCACACATTTTTTAAATAGTTTAAATAAAATTAGGTTCGATTTGGGTTTTTTTAGACGATGTATCATTAGATTTACGCTTATCTAATTTTTATTGTATCGAATCAATGTGAATCCATGTTTCCTGATTTCACTTTTGCTAACACAGTTGCCATAGTTTTTGTTATATTCTTTCTAAATTACATAATTGTCATTCGTGTCGAATGAAGCAAAGTTTGATTAAGATTTTAAACGTGAGAGGTTATTAAAGATTATAGTATTTTTGCTGTACTCACCAGGTTTATTAGGGCTAGGTTCCTGTAGCACAGTTACGTAGCTGTCAGGGAATATTCCCGTCTTGGAGCCGTTTCTTCCTTCCCACCAGTTCTGATCGATACGTCTCGTCAGCACGACCACTTCTCCCTTCTTCAGGGGCAGTTCTAAGTTTGTTTGGGCGGTGAAGTCGAACTTCGCTCGAGCTCGACCCTCGACTATCGCTGGCTTTTTCGGAGTTTGTACTACATCGCCTTTTTGTATCTGTAATAACCAGAATAGTTTTTTTTACAACGTCGCATATTTTATCTTTGAAGCGAAAGTTTGTTGGGAAAATCATCAAAAGACTTCTCTTTCTAGGGTAAGGAGAGAAGGAGTGTCAGACTCTTACTGACTAAAACCCCCCCTGTTCCTTCACCTGCTCTAGGCCGAAGGAGTTTACATAGTATAATTACTTATAATACTGCATAGAATGTACTCTCTGGATATGTGTCCCTTGTAACGAGGAGGTAAGTCTATTCTTCTTAGGGACTATGATTTTTTTTTAATACCCTAATGACATTTTACGCAACTAGCGAGTCAAACTTGAAATTACTTGCCCCCTTACTCTCGGCAGTTTACTACTTCTCGACCAACGAACCAGTCGAGACAGATTATCTATGTAGAATAAGATATTAAAGTTAAGCTCAAAGGAGTTTCCAGCAAAAAGTTCTATAATATTGCAAAATAAATAAAGTACTACTTACTGACCTTGATTAAATAAACCTAAATGATTTAGAAACTTGTTTTTATTAAGATGAGTGCTATGCATTAATCTTTAATTAAGACGTACGAATAACGATTAGTGGAAAATCAATTGCACATGCTTCGTAACAAAACAATAGAATTATCACACGGATGAAATTATAATAGCACATGTTGTACGTACCTCAACATAATTGTAAGGGAACAGGCCTATTCTCCCGTGTAGTTCTCCCTCGTACCAGTTGTTGTCGATTTGTCTCCTCACGTGGATCAGCTCTCCTTTCCTAAAGCTGAGTTCTCTTGGAGTCTGTCCATTAAATGTGTATAAAGCCTTCGCAATAACTTTCTCAGCTTCATCGTATCTGTTTAGAGGCAGTATGTTCTTCTGTGACGGAGTGAAGTTATCCTGGTGACGACGATTCTGCATGTCTTGCAACTCCTGTAACATACCATTTGTTATTTAGTGACTATCCTTCCAATATTTATGATGAAGGCGTATGATACAAAGCTCAAAAACTGAGGAAAATTTTGAAAAAATGTTAACATGTCCACATGCCCTTTGCACTTTAGAAAATTCTTCTCAGTGTAAGGTACTGTGGTTTAAATGAGTTAGGCCAAATATTGTTTGTTATACAGCATGTGTGTGTCATTTGAAATGAACGCGAAGAAATCAACCCAAACAGTAGATTCAGTTAGAACTTTTTCACACACTCTCTCAAACGTCACCTTCATTGAGGCATCGAATGCGTCTATATCAGCTGGACGTATTTCGTTTTCCTGAAAAGTTTTAATATTTGATAGAGAAATATTACCTCCATTACATGATGAAACTCTGTATTTTCTGAGGTCGAGTACATTTTTAATTTTACATATTGTATTTTCTAGTATTTAATAGAACCTATCACACTATCTCAACTAACACTAATATCACTGTCTAGTAACACACATTTCACAGTACGTATTTACGTAATTATACACTCATTGAACGTAATCGCTTTGGAAAATCATTTGCACGCGTATCATGATCGTCTCTCGCGCACGTTTCGCTCACACTGGGCCGACCGGGCCAACCGTGCCATGCTCATAACAATACAAGAATACCTCTATATAACAAAAACATTAACATCTCCCATTTCTTTATAAAAACCTGCTCTATTAAAAGTCGTTAAGGTTGAAATTATAATAATCGAGGTATAGAGTCAAAAATACGTGTGGTCAATTGGTCAACGGATTTTTCGTCGGTATGCGAAGACAAGGTCGTTTGGGTTTTTTTGAATATTTAATGAAACTGGTCGATATTACCATAGTGGTCGGTATGAATGGCAAATGCTCTTCGTATCATTTTTTTAAGACCTGTTAAATATATTGATTAATGGTGAGTCTCGTTTTCTTGTTGTTTGTAATAGGTAAAAGCTGTACAACTTGTATGTTAATAATAAAAACTCGAATGATCAGTATTACGTGATGTTAAGGTAAAGATTTCTCTCGAAGGGCTCGATCAGAGGTTGTTGATAATTTGCGGATATTTTTACCATGAGTAGGTTGTTTAAGTGAAATCAGTGAAATGTTTGTATTCTATGTATCTGTGCGATTGAAGTAGGTCGTATGCAAACAGTGCGTGTGCGCATCCGGCGCGGTAGTGTACAATTTGTATGAGATGTGAACACGAGAGTATTGTATTGTGCGTAAACTCACGAGTTACAATTACACTGGAAATTACGTGTTAGAACACTGAAATTACCTACCAATCAGGTAGGTAGAGAGAAACGATTGAGTATTTTTTAACTACATATTTCAATTAAATACATTTATCTAATTCTTCTGTTATATGTGACGTCCTTTCCTTTCAAGTTCGTCAGATAGGATAACTATTTTGTTAGACGATGTGTCATAAGATTTACGATTACAGATAATGGTTATTAATAAGATTTACGATACGAAAATAAAACTATTAAGTTTAGTTGGTATATCGCAAAATCAATCGCAAAAAGTGAAAGTGTTATATTATTTTATAAAACTATTTTTCAATGAAAACTTGAAATAATTTATTTTTCATTGGGTCTAGTTTTCACAGAATTGTTGGAATAGGAAAACGTAATAAAATGTTACGCTTACGCTTTTAAAACGTAAGTACTTTGAGCAGAAAGTCATTATACGACTATAGGTATGTATGTATGTAGGTAAAATATGACATAGAAAAAAGAAAACGTGATGATTATATTTTTGTGTGATATTGTTCGTTTTGCTTAAGATACACAGGCCTTTAAGCCTAATACCTAGGTAGGTACCTACCTAGGTATTAACCTAGGTAGGTATTCTTTTTATCATTGTACTATACTGAAGAAACAATAAAATAAAACGAACAAACAAATGCAGCAACCACAACTATTCCAGTATACTGTTACAAAAAACCACAGCCACGAGCGCTTGTAAACAAATCTATCTGACATAAGATTTTGACCTTTATTTTTAATGTTGTCAATGGAATAGCAAAATCAAGACTATATGATTTATTTTTAGGGGGGGAAAAGTATCAAATTTTTTCTCCCATTTTCTAGGAGAGGCGATGGGAAGTATCAGTCTCTTACTTACTAAAATAAAATCCAACCCGTTCCTTCTTCTGCTCTGGGCCTGGTCCACGGTACATTATTACGTTTGCAATATCATATTTTCTAATAACATTTAAGTCCTATAAATAGAAATGCTTTAATTTTTCGTTTACTGGTAAATTGTAGGTACTCAATCAAGATGAACATGAATGAAAAATGTTTTTTTAATAATTTGTAACTTTATATTAAAAGTTTCTATTGTTTGCATATTAATTCAGATTATACTTATTTGGATATAGTCACGGTATTCTTCCATTTAGGGACACAGACAGTAGAACGCTAAAGGGAACAATGTATCACTTGTTTAACGTTAGTTTTTTTTGTGGTTTTTCTAATTAGGTACCTACTAGACTTAGTCAATAATAATTTTTTTTTGAGACAAGCCCGCTGCGTCCTCCCTGAACCGTTGCAACTCCTGTAAGCCAGGATCTACAGTATATACAACCATGAAACCACCGGAACACTGAAGTCCGGCGCGTCCCAGGGACATGAATGACTGTCTTGGATCCCGCAACAAAATAAATCAGAAGATATTATTTAAGAAAAACTACTATTTAAAAAAAATAGATTCCACTTCTACTACCTAGAACTTATAAAAAAAATCGTAATTAATTTATTCATCGATTATTTCCTCTTATTAGCTCTATATTTAAATCTAATAAGACTAAACCGGTCACTTCAAGTTACCAGTACCTAATACTGTTGATATTGCGTTGTACCAACTACCTATTACTACCAGCAGATACGTGGACTTATGGTACGTAATGATATAGCACAGTTTATTCAACCAGTAATTGATGTAATCTATAAAATTGGGCCCCATTTTGTTTTCTAATAGAAATATTTTGAATACCTCTATCGTAACTATGAGGTTGGATATGGTTGGATAATTTAAGGAAAATTAAGTTTCAACGTTTTTTTTTCGTAATGTGATGGTGTTTGGCTCCTCTCGCCTCTCTCTCGCTCTCGTATCTCGCCTGGTGGAAAGCGATGATGACCTAGAATGGAGTATGCCTGCTCAGAAGCAACCTATTCACTCGGGCCTTACAACGGGAACACAGAATAATCAAGGAAAGAATCTTCATAGTTCGTAGTTCTTTAGGCATTTTATGGGGTTACTAGCGGAAATAAAAATTGAGGTGTCATTATAAAAAATCTAAAATAATCAAATCGATTTTACCGTTCTACGAGTTTGTATTTTATTTGCGTCATACCGGTTAATAAAAAAATAATTGCTATAGCATGAGCGTAGTTCTTCAAATTAATAACAGATGTCGCTGTTTTATTTTTTTTGTTGTTAGCATTGTGTGTCTGTGTCGCTCTTGGTAACTCCTTATTTGTTTACAAACAAAGCCACACTTTGCACTATCAGACTTTATTAAAGTAAAAAGTTAAACATGTAAATGAATCTTATTACTCTTATTGGCGAAGAAATGATTGAAAAACGGGCAGTGCTAAGTCATGTGTGGACAGAGCAAAACGATTATAGACGTAGGTAACCTAACTGACACTCATTTCAATAACAAAGAGACAAAATAATACTCAAAATAAATTACTAATCCTTTACAAACATATAGAACAATAAAATAATCAAAATTATGTACTTACAAGATAACTTCACTGAGACTAATTAAACAAACATACATATATACGACGCTACCCTTTAGCTTGAAGTTCAATAAATTTAACCTATATCAGGATATCGATCAAACTGCAGTAGCGTGTTGGCGCCTAGTTTAACAAGATTAATCGTTAATCGCAACATTGAGTGACGCGATAATCGTGTTCGGAATATTCCGATAAAACGTTCCGTCCGTTTTTGCGATTATTCGTTAAGAATCGATTTCAGTTCGCATGCAACGTAATGTAATGTAATATACTATGAGAAAAGTTGTTATTAGAATCGGATAGAAAATTATGAGTTTTCTTTGTACGAGTTTTACGACATACATATATTTCTTTACGACATTCATTATTATCACACGGCTTCTAAACGGAAACTGTGATCTTTATATTTTTGCATTAATATTGTAAATAGTTTAAGGACTAATTCTTAGTCAATAAATGTTGTGACACGAGATACTTTTTTTTCTTTAAACGTTGCCTCACACTAGGATTTTTTCCTGGTCGTCGTTACAATATCACGGGACGTACACATCACACCCAGACCCGGAACAATAATTTATAGATCACACAAAGAGGTGTTCCGTGTTTGAATCGACAGCGACACGCTGCGCGGCAGCCAGTTGCCCAGCCATCGCGCCAACCGTGCAGTCAATACTTAACAGGACTTGATTGATTTTATTTAAATTTTGTAAAAGTAAGTGAATTAAGTTAAATTCACTTTGAACCAACACTAATATGTACTTAGCTGTTAATAGACCATCGTAAGAAATGCTAAATTTACTGAAAATAACGAATAATTCACGTGAACTAAGTGAGAAAAGCTCGACTAGTTTCAAGTCACAACGGGACTCTTATTCATGAATAGCGTGCTTTTGGGTTTTTATATACTAAATTAGACTCAATGGTGTTAAATACGTAGAACCCACATTTTTTATTTAAAATGCTTTGTACATACTATTACAGTACGTCAAATCCTTGCTGTATTTACATAATAATATTTAATAGGAATCCAGCTATCTGACAATAGATAATACAATAGATAGGTTTTAAAGTACTCAACGATAGGAAAAAAACCATTGAACAAACCACAGTAGAAATAAATATGAAAATGCTATTTACCGTCCGCGTCGTAAAAAATACAGTTTATTTTATATTTATGATTGATCGAAACCTTTTTACTATAAGATAGACTTGATATTCTATTTTGATCGTTTTAAATGGTTTGTATTTTTGTAGAGTTGGTTACTATTTTTGGCTTAACTAAGCTACTTGATTGTATTGTAATGTAGTACCAATTTAAAATTATAAAATATTTTTAAGTTACTTTGTACAAGTCAGAAATACTATTGTATTTTTAACTAACGAGATATCCCTAAGTATTAGTAGAAATTAAATAATTTTTCATATCAACTTGACAATAAAGTCGAAGACTACCAAACTATCTAATTCTCTCTTAATTAGACCAAAGTGCCTTCGATTTAAAATTAGTGTTGGTCGTATTTGTATTCAAAGAATCAAATATCGAATTCAATGTCGTTCTATAGGAGAGGCCTATGTATGCCCAGAAGTGGACAGAAAAAGACTTGAATGCTACCCTTCATATTCCACTGTATGTAATACCTTAACATAAAGAGGCATACGAATGGATGTATCACCTTGGTAAGCGATCAGCGCCGCCCATGGATACTCTCGACACATGGATGGCATTTTTTTTAATATATATTTATTTACTGGAATAATTTGACATGGTGTGTTTTTTTTGTCAGGGAATAATCGACCGTAGGTACATCTTAATTTGAAACTAGTCCCATTGACTTCTTGAAGGTATCCACTGTTTTCTTAAAGGTTTGTATGTCTTTTCGGTTAATAGATATATGACAGTGTATACATAAATAGTGGCATAATTACCTGTAAGTATTTGTTCCTCTTCTGTTCTCTGTACAATCTCTTCATGTGCTCGGCTTGTTGACGAGCCAGCTCTCGCTCTGGTACCAGAGGCAGGGGGTCGTGTCTCACCGGACATCTGTAGTGGATGTTCACGTCGCTCTCCACGTAACGTCGAGGGGATTCTATGGATGAGAATATGGAGACAGATTAGCTATGATTTTAACTCAATATTTGAAGTCTTACGAGTCCTCAAAACTATGACAACCATATATGTATAAGTTGTTGTTGTTGTTGTCGTAGACATTTTTCACAGTCAGACCCGGAACAACAATTAGTGGATCACTCAAAGAGTTGTTCCGTGCGGGATTCGAATCCGCGACATGTTGCGCGGCAGCAAGTTGCCCAGCTACCGTCACCGTCATAGACAAACACAAGTTAAATATTTTAAACACAAATTTAATCGTTGTTCGATGCGTCTCGAACATTATTACGCCTTATTTAAACTTCAACAATTATAAGTGTCAATTATAAATATTTGTAACTGTAATTATTGTGTAATAAAATGCGAAACATGACATTCAATAAATTAAGGTACTTAACAATTTCTATTACCTATTTTATTCTTAAATGTTTTACTAAAAAAGTATTTATTGTCACTGGACAATAACGTTGCTTTTTATTGCCAGTATTTAAAAACGATTGTTCAAAAATATCTGTGGACACGAGACCAAGTATATATTCCCGGAAACCTCGATAGGTACTGTAAACACGAAGCATTCTACTACTGTAATTATATACTTTCACATGAAAAGCTGATAATTGCAAGCATCTATTGCTTTTAACACGGCACGCTGTTATTATAGGGTCTTGTGAAAGGGCTTGTTAAGTAAAGATGTTTTCTATTTGATGACTCTTTAGCTAAAGAGAAAAGCTGACGTTTATGATGTACATGGTGTTGGTAATAGCATGTGTCATTACCACGGAGTAAGTTATTACGGTTGGGAGTACGCAAGAAATACTTAGTTATATTATTTACGGATGTGTAAGGAAGGAACGACAACTATTTAAAACATATAAATAAAATGTTTAGGAAAAACGTTAGATATGTAACGTTTTATTCCATCTTGAATACGGGAATAGGCGTTTAATAAGACTCGTACTTAGGAATGTTTGATTTTAGTTAAACAATTTCATAAAGCTAATATTTATTTAATACACATTCCCAGATTTAAATATGGAACGACATCGTAATTCTTAATTACTTAATAAACACACACACACAATAAAAACCACAAAACGATAAAGATAACATCTTATTTCATTATTTACAAAAGGCGTACAATTTAAAAACAATGCGAGCGACGAAGCCCGTACAGCGTGGCGGGAATTTTTATGTAAAAAAAAATATGTTGAATATTTAATTTATATAAAAAGTGAAGTGAAAGCCGTTTGCAATATGGCCGCCATCGATGTAACGTTGTGTGATCGGCGATTTTCTTTGTCTACTAGTTATTATGATGATACGTAAGACTTAGAACCGGTCGGATTTTGTAACTGCGGAAGTAAGAGGAGGCAAGGCAGTTGAAGAATTAAAAATATTCAATTATAATTGTGTAGTTATAAATGAGATTGTTTAATTGTCTACATGTTTAGGAAAGAGGTTTTTTGTCGTGACAATTTTGTTTGGATAATAATGTTGTTTATGTTTAAATTGTTTTTTGTATATTCTACAATGTACATTTACATATATATGAATTAATAGTGACAACTCAACTCGTTTCAAGTCACAACGGGACTCTTATTCATGATCAGCGTACGAGTTGCGACGACGGCGGCGTCGCGTAGCCGACGACATTTTCTCAATTTATTTATGTCTTATTTAAATTCAATAAAGGTACATTATTCGACAAATATTTTTGTGTAGTTTGTTATGTAGGCCTTTTTATATTTGACTACTTATGAGACTTTTCGAGTCCAAAAGCAGTATATCGTCGTCTTTAAGAAAATACTTCAGCCATAATGTATATGGTATGTAAAATATTTTAATACACAAGATAAGTTAAAGTAATTACATTGCTAAGCACACATTATCCGAATAAGAATTCCATTTTATGTCATTTGTTTGTTTATCAGATGACAGATTCAAGTCCGAAACTTTTTTTACAAGAGATCAAATTTACTTGTTCTCTGGGTGGAGAAAGTGGGAACGGCAGACTCTTACTGGCTAAAAACCAACCCATTCATTCTCCTGCCAAACAAAACATACCAACAAACTGAAGGAAATATTATTTATTCTTGTAAAACTACACTTATAGTCTGAAAGAGACCTTTAAGTAGAATAATTTTGTAGGCCCAAATTGTTTCAGCCTATGGCCTCACAGCTTTACATTCAACGGTCAGTTCTGGTTACTTATAACTTGATATTGAACATGAGACTTTTAATACCAACTGGTGAAGTTATCCTTTCACAGAAAAGTTTAATGTTACGTTCTAATATGGCGATCAACCGGTACCGATTCCGGTAACACAGGATGTGTTTTATTGTTTGTTTAAAATTGTGTTCCGATGTTAGATACTGAACGGATATGTCTTAGCATCTGGTGTACATAATTATAAATGGTTTACATTATTATATCAAAATATAAACTCTAAAGTTTATGAACTATTATGGAAATTTGAAAGTTTTTTATTCTTTTCTATAGTGTAGTTATAATCAGATTTTAATAAGAAAAAAAAATCGAATGGGATTTTTTTTATTAATTGTTAATTATAAATATTATGTGTAATGAAAAAATTGTTAAATTATCTATCAATGTAAGGTATAAATTGCTTCTAAATGAATCATTTTTATAAGTATTTTGAGGCAATAGTATTGTTTTATCGGAAGGTGTGTCATGAGTTTTATCTATAACGAAGATATATAATAAACCATATGATAATACATATATAAATATCCATTCGCACATGTCATTGTATATTTGGACATAATTTATTGTAAACTATATTGCTGGCGAAATAAAAAGCTACGTACATTAGCAACGTTTAGTTAACTTTTCAATAAAATTTTATGTTTTTATTTGTGTCATACTGGCTAATCGAGCTCATTGGCGTGCAATTGGGGAGGCCTATGTCCAGCAGTGGACGACAACAGGCTGATGATGATGATGAGATGATGATGATTTGTGTCATTATGAGTAGATATATGAAACATTAAAATCGATTATCTTTATTGATTAAAATTATTTCCGTTGAAGTGACAAAAATATATTTATTTTAAAACTCAACCTTGTACCTAGATTATTGGTAATTGCTCTTGAAATAGTAATCTTTTTTCAGGATTTAAGGTCACTGACCTGAAACGAACGATCTAGATTTCTTGAGGCTGTAAATGCCATAAAGATGTTCTTGTTTTACGAGTGTATATTATTTAAGTCTTGTGTAAGCTGATAAAAATATTACCTAGTTATAAAAAGACATACTGACTTTTGTTCTATAATTAATTAAACACATACTGTTACTAAGGCAGTCAATTCTGGGTTATAAATAAATATAAAAAAAATGTTAACATATTTATTTTTGTGTTTGACATTCAAATGTCTCGTTGTAGTCAATTTTAAATAAATGATTAGACTTTGACGTTGGAGTTTCAGTATCAAAATTGACTTAACTAAACACTACATTTTATTCATTTTAAAAACTTAAAATATGTATTCAATATTATGCTTTAACCATCAACGGCTGATTTTTCAATAGTCAGATACCTACATATTATCTGAGAAACAAAATTGTTGCTGTCACTGTCTTATACAAACATTCTGACGCGACAGCATCATAATTATTTTTCAGGGAACTTTTATCTAACCATTGAAAACTCAGCCCTAAAAGGAATGAATGTGGCTAACTAGCACCAACTCGATATAATATGTTTTCAAGCAGACAGTCCAAGGTTCCATCAGCCACCTTCTTATACCATCTTCAAACAAGCCTGATGACACTATAATAGATATTAAGGACATAGTCATCAAATCTACAAATAATTGCTAACATGATGATACATCATTAAAAAGTGTGTATAATTCAGGTTTTTAAATCATTTAGTACGCACCGGCTTCGGAATAGGATGAAAATCAGCCTTTAAGTTATACTACACTATAATCTATTTCCTTACAAAATCAATCAATAAGTTTTACGCGAAAGTGTAACTTACATCCATCCATATTTTCTTTAACTTTCGCGTTTCTCTTTAACTTTCGCGTTTATTATATATATAGTATGCTAGTTCGTACAGGGTAACTTAATAAAACAGCAATGACAACACAACACAGATCGTTAATAAGAGTTCAGTTGGCGTAATTTTAACCACAACATGAACATTTTTTGTAAACGCCTTTTCTGTCCCTATTTACCTTGTATGCTTAAATCTTTAAAACTAAGCAACGGATTTTGGTGCAATTTTTTCAAAAGAAAGAGTGATTAATGAGGAATATTTACATGTATAAAATAACATCCATTAACCTTTTCATCGTGGTCATTCGAGACACACGTACGTGCGCCAACGCCGGCGTTCTCTTGGGGTTTTGGTGAAACAAATAGCGATGGAATTAGCATTGCAGACGTGCGACGCCGGGGCAGGAGTTATTGTAACTAATCAGCATTTACGGCCACACGTGAAACTTAAACAAAATATGCCATCAAATATGTCGAATTGGACACTTGACAGCGTAACTCTAACAATTGTCTCTACTTCTTACTTTCTACGGATAATCATGCCTGGCACGTACTTACGACACGCCCAGAGTACCAAAGATAAGATTACAATTGGCAAATATAGTGACACCGGAATCCCTACCTTATGCCACGGGGAGAAATATAATTTTCACTCAGTATTTGCATAGAGAGAGAAAATGTTTCTTGGTGGTTACGACTGTGGAATTTCATTTGCACAACGGCAATGTAGTGTCGAGTCATTTTTTGTTTTTGTTTGAAATTATATTATAATATAGTCTATATTATGCCTCCTAATAACTTTAACATTGTACTAAGAGCTTGAAGTATATTTTCTGCACTCACAGTGTGTCTACGACGATAAAGTCTATATTGGCTGGTTTGGTGAAATAAAAACTTTTTTTACTTACGTCTTTACTCAAATTTAATTTGTTTTATAGAACTCAGAAAACGTTATTGTAAAGCTAAGCTTTGCGTACGAAGAAGAGTAACCTATCAATGTTTTGTCGAGTGCAGCTCAAACTGTCTGTATGTTTGTTCCGGGTAGTCTTTAGAATGACTGGACCGAATCTGACGGGAATTTTAGTGGTAGGTAGCTGATTTAATAAGAAGTAACTTAGGCTACTCAATATTATTTTTATCTCGAAAGAAAAGAGCGTCTTCTCGTGATAGTGAAAATCAAAATAAACGCGGATGAAATCGCGGTTAAAGTTAGATGATTTAAAATAGATTCATAGTTGAAAAAAATAAAACGGCTTTTAAATATAAGACCCACATCTCGGGAGATATGGACATACCTAATGGATCCAAACTTGGTATATCTATACTACCTATAAAGTAGCCATCTTCCATTGATGAACATACCATAAATGTATAGCCATCTTATCTACATATCATTCAAAATTTCATTATGATACAACAATTAAAAGTGTATTTAAATTCAGATTCTTAATATTTATAAAATGGTTAGATACAGTTTGTTGACATATTCGTAAAATAGCTAAAATAATTGACTTGTTGCATTGTTGCATTTGTCACTATAGAAATATGTATTTCTTGGCATTTGTAACTATAGAAATATTTCTATTTATCATTAACGAAACAAATGAAGGGTGGAACAATAGATTAGGATAAGGAATAGAACTGATAGTAACATAGTGATAGTACGATAGTGATTCACAAAACAGGACAATCGTTACGAAAGAGTGTAGGGAATGTTTTTGTTAGTCCTACATTATTGGATGAGTAATAAGGCAAATCACTAATAATATCATCCCTAAATCATCTTATTAGTCTCTGTCCCCGTAAGTGTGTAGGGGAATTGTCCCTTGGTAGTGAAAATGACACTTAAGGCATTTAAGGGATTTGTTCCTTTGTAATTAACTAGCTACTCAAGCGAGGTTTCACCTGCTGATCTCCATTTGATCGTAGCGTGATGTTGTATAGCATATATCACTCAGGAACATAAGAGCTATCAAAGATGACCCACCTACATACAACATACATGTTCAATACACATGTTACAATACACATGTTCGTAAGTACGAACATACGAACAAACAAATTTTACCTCTTTATAATATTAGTATAGATTGGTGCAGAAAAAACATGTCATAAAAGTTTTAGGTCCCAAATATCTATGTACGTCAACTAGATATTTTCAGCGTACTTACTTAGTTATGACTCGGAAACAGAATAATATACCTAATACTTTTATATTAATAATGAACTCAATAAATTAATGTTACTCTGAAAAAAAAACAATTAAAAAACTATAGGATAGAAACAAGAATTTGTATTTGTAGATTACCTATCGTGATTCAAGTAAGTATTCTGTTCGTAATTTCGTCCAAATTCCGCATTATTGAACACGAATTACCTACACATATTTTCTTAAAGTACCAAATGGTTTCATAATTACTTTAATAGTTTCCCGGAAGCTGTTGTAATATGAACCCTGTTACTTTAATATTACCAATATTATTGATTGGATATTTTATATCACTATTAAACTTGGTAATTTAATAATATATTATTATGATCACGGTAATCAAGGGTTTTGTATGTTACATTTATTTGCATATATTTGGTTAAAAACTAATTTGGCTGATGTATTTGCAGGAAGTGTACTTTTTTAAAATATTACCAGCTAAAACTAATAAATTAATATTGGTTTTTCTTCCTCACTTGCTGTTTCAGTATATGCATTAAAATATAGTTGACTACCAATTTTTCTTTCAGAGATTTCAATTTCCTATACATATAATTCTTTATGAATTTTATTTATTTTGTTGTATCATGATTTAATATTAGCTACACACAATGTGCTAAAAAACCTATATTAATTATAATAACAAAGTCTACGAAGTATCAGGTAAATAGTTACTCCATTTAAAATTATTCACAATTCAAACTCCTAATAGTAATTTCCATTACAATTTCTCTAAAGCCTAAAGAAGATTGAGTAACTTTTATTTCTAGAATCGCTCACATACCAAACTTGCTTTTAAGTTACTCAAGTTACAAGAGAAAAATACTGGTATCGCGACTTTTTGCAATGATACGCCTTTAATTACCGTTTCAAGTTACAATTAAGTAACTTGGTATCTTAGCACAGTACGACCTCTTAAAAAGATTTCATAATTCGTCATTGAAGCAGAAATTAGGTAAGGTATCTTTATATTTGTAACCTAAATAAAAATATTTCAATAAATCTATATCTATTGCGCAACTGTCTAGTTTTTGTGCAATTCCCAGAATATAAATAATTTTTTAATCTCTTTTTTGACGACATAATTATGTGTATTTTATTATGTTTTAATACAATTATTTATGTGATAAATAGTAATCGCATTTAGAGTTACAAATAAATAACAAAATCACACGCTTTCTTTTCTCAAATCATATGTAGATAGGTAAATATGACTATATTTTTATTACAGTCACTGCTTAAACTTTACGCAACCTTTTCCAATACACATAGTTTTCCACAATATTTAATTAAATAACGTCACTTGATTAATTAATTTCAAAAGTTAATAAATAATATTTACATTAAACTAATCACTTTGTATCAAAGATCAAACGCATGTCAGATAAAGAAAGTAAACAATTATAACTTTACAGATAGTTTATGGAGAACACTTGTTATTACACTTAATTAAGATTAACGGACAGCATTAATTACTTGGTTAGTTGAACACTGATAGAATATAATTAAAGAAGAGACACAAACCATGAGTGGTCATTTTCTTTATTTGCTTGAGAATGCCCATAGCACTCACAGGCACGAAACACTTTTTACAACACAACGCGTTTATAACTCCGGGACCGTCTGTCACCGACTGTCGGCAGCGATAGATCGGATGCACTTTCGACTCAAATCGACGCCTTTACTTGATCTCCCGCCAGACCAGTTGACTTGACTAACACTTTCGCTTTGCACGCACGCCTTGTCAACAATGTTATTCAACATTTTTGGTAGCTGTTAACCGACCTACGTTGTTGACGATGCGGTTATCTCATAATTTGACAGAACCTGTTTTGTGTAATCTTTTTGAGGCGTGTCTTGCTGTGGTTGTGTTACGATTTATATGATGAACGATTAATTCAAATTGAGATGGTCGGAAGTGATTATTAATGTGCAATGATGAAGGTTATTTATATCAATGTTGAAATTTTAATTTTTACCTTCGATTTTTTTTGAATCGTATAATTGTGTGTTTGGAATTTGTTTACAAATGTGACTTCATTTGATTACATTGATCTCTAGATCTGTCACGTATTCTGTCGTAAAATTTTGCGTTTTCGAACACGGTTCTGCGTTCATAACTTTGATACGCCAAGAAAGTCATTTTAGATATGCATCAGCCCATACTCTAGTTATTTCTTAAAGTGGCATACAAAAACTGATTACAATCAAAACTGTGTTAATAACTGGCTTTTTCATCCACATTAAAAGTTATAAGTTAAGGTCAAATATTTATAACGATAAATAAGGTCGGTCACTTTTAAATGCCAAATTCTTTAATTTAAGGCACGGTAAAGATCTTTTGACGCATGTGTTGTTTATCAACGAGTGATGAAAATATTAAAATTGTCGCAGTACATAATGCGCTTGAGACCAATCCTGTTTTTTAAATAAAATAATGTTATTAACTACCAGGTTTTGAAGTAATCCATCAAACAATTTAATAGCAAGTACCAAACTGAATGATGTAGAAACAGATCCCATTGTGCTAAAACCTTCCGCTAATGCTTATAAACTAGAACATTTCGCTTTAGATAGTAACCTTGAAAACACAATTACATTACGTGTTACCGTAAAGAATCCCATAGAAAATCGTTACACAAAGACTATACAAATAGTGAATGAGTCTGTACTCACTGTATGGTAATGGAGCGTAAACATCCGGATATATATTCGTCCTGTTTCCCCATTCAGAAAATTCATGAAGAGTGTGACGATAGTCATTATTTTTGTTTACATTTGTTTGTGTGTTCCTATAAACTACTTGATCTGCATTTGCTTTTATTTCAGAACCAGCAATATTCATTAAATTATTCGTTGAAGCTGAATGTTCACGCTGGTGTTTGACTTCATTTTGTATTTCACTTGGTTCAGAAACTACTTCTGATATGGTCACACTCTGTGTATCCACATTATCTGATACGTTGCCATCGTATGTATCAGAGTCGTTGAACGATTTATCTTTTAACTGCAGAGATTTGTAGTCATCTGTTAGTTGCGTGACACTTGTAGCACCGTACGTAATAGTGGCTGTCGTTGTTTTTATTCCAGTAGTATCTTCGACAGATTCATTGCTCTTCAAACTGTCTGTATCATATTTTGTACGAGATTCATTAGGGCTGGTTTCTTTTGAAAAATAAGCACCGTCACTTTCATATTCTTCGGTTTCATCGTATAGTAAATTCTTCTTCATGTATTTGTTTAGAGCGAGCTGAGATCTAGATAGAGACCCCGACCCTGGCACGTCACTGAAAAATCCATCATCTTCATAGTTTGTATCTTCACGGTTTAAAATATTGCTGTGTCGTTTATTACTGATGTCACTTGCAAAATTTGCGCTCATTTTCGTGGGACACAAATTATTTTATCATATTAGCACTGCACACACCTAGATGGTTCTAGTTAAACTGAAGTTGCGATAACACTGATAAAAATATTATATCCGTGAGTTGTACTTGATAATACTTGTCGATACGGTTCGATATTTCGCGTTGTCAGTTACTTCAATACTTCATTTATTAATTTTACGAACACCAAGCAGACCGCGTGTGATCAAGCGGCTCGCCGAACTATTTACAATTGTAAAAACTCAACCGACAGGTTTTGGAAGTCCGATCCAATTGAATGACGTAAACCGGCAGAGGCTGACTGATAATTGCACGATATGAATTTTTTTCTTAAGTTGTTATAACACAAGTATTGCAAATTATTTTATAATAATGTAATCACTTCAAAAATAAACTTGGGTAATATTTATTCCCGACAGACAACGTGTGTAGACGACGATGGTCAGGGGAATAAGTTAAGGCGCCGATTGTTTTGAACAAAGGCTATTGTTTCTTTTTTATTCGCATATAGTAAGTAATCTGTAAAAAAACTTAGTTGGCTCTCATGATGCTTACACCGAATGATTTTCGGAAGTGAATTGCTGTTACCTAATGTACCAAAGTAGGTTAGATAACTTTTTCTATTTATTTTTGTGAGACGAATGTCTAACTTTATTGTTATTTACAGATGAGAGCACAAATAGTTAACGGTGAGTGTATGTACTTGCCTGTATCTGAGTAGCTCCCGTGCGAGGTTCTGCGTGGAGGCTCCGGTGCTGAGTCGTTCTCTAATAGTGTATAACAAAAAATGGTAAGGGACCAAACACAAAACATAATAACATGATTCTGTGAAATAAAAGAAACATTGATACTCGTTATGTGTTAACATCTAAGCTCATAAAATACATATTTTAACATAAATATTTACAGCGAGTTTCATTATTTACTGGTATCATACACATCACGTAGAAAAATTAATGACAATTATTGCAGGGCTTCAAACCATACTCGGTCTCGAACAGTAATCACGCGAACTGAACACGCATAGCAGAAACGCGATACAGTGAAACCCATAACGATGATCAATAAATCTTTTATATAGGATGCAAATTCTACAAAATTCAAAATTACTCCAAAATTAAACACGACTTAGCGTCAACTGAATTGAGTTGTAATAAAGTTCAGAAATTAACCTTGGAATGTGACGGTATGTCTTGATGGCGTGACGAAGGGCGAGAGCCTGTAGGGCCATGAAGCGGGAGGCGGGCGAGGCGGAGCCCGAGGCGGCTCATACCGGCTCGCTGGACGATGAGCCGCAGGATTAAATTCTTGCTTCGCAAATGTGTCGCTTTTCAGAATGGAACTCAATTTAATAGATTCTTTAGGTTTCATCCGTTTTGTTTCTTTTTTTACAGGGGAAGTGCGTCCACGGACTAAAACATTTGGATCCTCAATGGATCTGTTGTTATCACTACGTTTTGGGTACCGGTGTGCTATCCACGAGCCTGCTAAGTATGGAGCTATGTCGTGCAGCTCACTTACGTCAGGAGCGGATGCATAAATCTGTCCTAGTAATGACATTGTCTCGAACCTTCGACGAATGCGGTCCACTTCGCCCTGTCGACATTCTGACGCTTCTTCCGCAGATCTAGACCGAGGAGTAGTGCGTCTACGGAGAGCTGCTAACTTGGATATAATATCAATATGGGGCATATAACGATTGGTCGATCTCAAGGGCACACGGGCCACGGGAAGCGCTATTTTAGCCTTGTCTCGTCGTGAGGACAGTTTTTCGAAGGAAGACCAGCTGGTAATGAATGCGTTCCGTGCAAGTTCGGGATCACTGCGATAACGTCGTAGCACAGCACCGACTGCCGCGGGCGAGTCAAAGCGCCGGGCCAGGCGGCGCACTTCGCCGGCTCGCGCCAGGTTGAGGTATGCACGCCAGTACCTCTCCGGGTCGGGTGACGGGCTCCGACTGCGCCAGATTGTCTCATCGCTTGAACAACGTAGCGTGTCAGGCGTCCGTCTGTCAGCGTATAATTCTGAATGAGGTGAAGCTGACCTAGAATGTAGATCGGGTTTCAAAGGAAGCGATAGAAACTTATTCTTTTCACTTTCGCCAAAAAGCTCCTTAAAATTGGTGCAAGATTGTGACTGAACAATTTGGTTTTTTGGATGCTCGTTATTTTTGGCTTCATTCATATTTGAAACCACTTCCTTGACGGCCACTGCTGTACTAGTAGAACTTGTTTGATCGTGATTTTCTTTTTCATCGGAGCTTTCCCTGGCATGGTAAATAGTTTTTGTTTGTTCAGCTGTATTTTTCACAGATTCGAAATATTGAACTTTTTTTTGTACTTCCTTGCTGGGGCCACGGTAAATTACAGTTTTGTTTGAAATATCAGAACTAGCAGTCTCGGTTTCACTAGCTGACGACTGATATGGTGTTTCCGTTTTTTCTTTAGGATAAACGACGTGTCTCTTTTTATCATCTTCAGCACTATTAGCACTTACTTGTTTGAAATGATTCTCTGGTGGTTTTTGAACTTCCACATCTTTACTTTCAGTCTTTAACTGTTCTTTGATTTCAGTATTTTCAATTTCTTCTTTTAGAGACAGAGGCGGCTGTGCCTGATTGTCGAATTTGTTTATTCTGTTTAATATTTCTTTACTTAATGTTTGTGAAATCTTTCTTTTTTCGTTTTCGCTAAGAGACATTTGAATTTTGTTGACATTATTTTTGAGTTCCTTCACCGATGTGATAGGACAAGAAATTGCAGCAATAGAGTCAGATTTTGTAAGTTTAGCTGGCTTTTCTACGTCTGCATTGTAATTAGAAGTAATTAATGAATTGCATCTGACATGTAAAGATGGATTTGCTTCTATTTTATCATCTTTTACTTCGATAGCGTATTTCATTTCTGTCTCTTTATTTGATTTTGATTCCAATTCTTTGCTGTATATTGCATTGAGCTGATTTTTAAGAGCATTTACTTGTTCCATAGACAAACTACTCCATAAACGACTACCCAGACCTATTTTCTTACGAAGGTCATTTAACGAGGTTTCTTGTTGTAGGGTTACTGTAGGTTTCACGGTGATGCGTTGTTCTAATCTATCATTATCGTTTTTTTTATTAATATGAAAAGCTGTTTCAGCTACACTTGTTCCTCGCCATAAAGGCTTATAGGTATCCCTAGACTGGGGTTGCTCTAAATCCATCGAATCATATTGAGGTATCTGTTGAAAATGATCTTTCAAGTCTTCTACAGATTTTTCCTTTATTCGCAACCCCCTGTCTGCGTCATAGTTCCAGCGAAAGTCTTTCAAGTCTCGGGGATAAAATAAAACATCGTTTTCGGTTTGTGCTAATTTCAATTTCCGATATAAATTATTTAATTCTTCTTCAGCTCTCTCTATCGCTCTTATTTTCTTCCAGCGATCAAAGTCAATTATTTCTTCATCTTTTCTTCTGTGACGTAAATCACTTGTCGATGTAGCTTTTTCTAATTCAGCCACCCTTTCCAAATACGTGTAATACCTATTTAATTCTCTGAAACGTTCTGACCTCATTTTTGTGTTTTGCATGTCACGACAATATTCATCGTAATCTGGGTCACTGGCATATAAATTGGAATCACTTTTTGTTTTCATGGGAAGGTTTTCCGAGAGTATTTTTCTCTCAGCATCACCAGCACTTCTGGTACGAAAAACACTTTTCGGGACTGTATCTGCGTATTGCTTATTGTTTTGTATACGGGCGCTATGTATGCGCCGGTAGGATGGAGATCGTATAGAAACAGGAGATGTAGAGTGACTTCTACTGACACTTGCAGCGGTACTTTTTCGTGTAACCTTTGGGGATACCGGTCTCGAAGTTTGAGAAAAAAATATTGTTGATGGATATTTATCATTATCAGATTTGGTATCAATGATGTCTAAACGAGGAGAGCGTCTAGTTATTACGGGAGACACCGGACGAACAGTCTCAGTGAACACGATTTTTGATGGTGATAAGGATTTATGTTTCGTTTGCGGAGGGGATACATTTCGTTTATGTATCACTTTGGGAGAAACAGGCCTTCTGGTCTGCGTGAAAATTAATCTAGATGGAGATGTAGAGTTCCTTACGACAATCTCTTTTGGTTTTTCTTTTTTGTAAAACACAACAGTTGGAGATTTTGGACGAGATGTTTGAGAAAAATACATTTTATTGCAAGGTGGTTCGCTTTTGCTTCTGACTGTCGCTAAAGACGAAGTTGATCCAAAATCGTCACACTTTGACAAACTGTCAAATTTTCGTATTTCATCATGCATTCTGCCGGGCCAAGATATTGATCTAGGACTACGGGCTCGTGATGGACTGGGATATCTATCCCACATTTTGAAGCGGGATAATGATACTGGCTTTCTATGTATCAAATAAGTGTTAAGGGACTTTGGGGAAGCAGTGTCTTGAGGGAGAGATTGGAACATTCTTGCCTTTTGAAGCACTGTAGTGTTTTGTTCTGACATCGGATATACTAAAGTTGGAGTCGAACCTCTTCCAAGAAATAAATGTTGAAAAAACGTATCTGATACAACAGCATCATGTGACTTTTTTATTTCTTTGGAGCTAATCCTTCTTGGACCCAAATTTTCAAATGAGCCAAAATTTGAAATTTCGTTTGAGGTATCGCCAAACTGACTACCTGATTCAGAATCATCGTTTGGTTTAGTGGTAGATTTTTTAGTATTTTTTGGTTTGGCTAATTTTTTTACAGTTTTGGGATCCTTAGCTTTTTTACTACATGCTTCGTGGCAGGGTACACTCCGAGGTCTGACTATTACACTCTCTAAAGACTTTTTCTTTTTCAAGTTTGTAACTACTGCTGTTTTCACTTGATTGGCTTTTTTTGATCCAGTTGAAATATTTGAAGTGGATTTAGATATACTTGATGACGACTGGAGGGAACTAGGTTTCAAAACCTTTGGTTCATTTTTGATAGATAGACAAGGATTAGACTTTGTGTGTTGTTTGGATATTTTGAGTTTTTGTATTTTTTCAGCGGTACGAATCATATCTCTGCTTTTATGGGTATTTGTTGGTGACGAAGATTTTGTACTTGGAGTTATGTTTGATTTTATAATGGGCTTTTGTGTACTGTCTTTAGTTAAAGATTTAGCTCGTATTTTTGTAACATCGATGCGCTCATTTCTTTTTTCAGCACTCCACAATTTATCAAGAGACGTTACTTTATCAAGTATATTTGATATGGGTGTTTTACGACCGGCTCCTCCTTCTATAATGACAGATGAGTGAGGTTCGCCATACTTGCTGTGAACAGAGTTTGAATATTCAGTAGGCAGCAGAATTCTCCGAGATGAGCCAAAACTACTTGTACCACTTCTAGCTTCACTACCCACAGATTTCATTGAGCTTTTTAAGTTAATCGTTGAATTATACTTTCTGTTGATTGCTGGTGGTGCTGACGTAGACATAATTCTTGTTTTTGGTATTTTTTGTTCAAGTGTAACACATTTTTTCTCAGCTGAGGACCCAGACTTGCTTAGAATTTGTGTGTTTTGTCGAGACAGTTTGTGGTTTATTTTATCTTTAAGAAAATCGACATTAGATTGTGAATACGATGTTGTCCTTTTTGGTGAAGTTGACACAGGTCTTGTTGAAGTCACCAGCTTAAGCGTCCGACTGTTCTTCGATGAAATTCTTCTAGGAGGAGCAGGTGGATAGTCCGATATTTTACTTGGTACATCAATGCTCAGAAACGACGGAGCAAGTCTCTTGAATTTAACTTGATCTCCTGTTTCGATACTTGTCACAGGATAGCAAATGACTTCGTGTAACTTTGGAGTTTTCTTATGAACTCTTATCTTCGTCAGTGTTGAAGAAATCGGAATATATTCGATTTCCGATTCGTCTGTGGAATATAATCACTTTTCAGTGATGATTGTCTTTGGTTGCACTCGTTAAGTGTGATACAAACGTGATTCTCGTGCTCCTGGTCTAATTGTGATCTCGTAAGCGATGTTTCAACTTTCTAACCGTGATACTACATTTGTGCCGTAAGTTCAACATTGTGACGTGTTCAATAAGTGCTAGTTTAATTTTGGAGTAAATTTGTGATCATGCAAGTTTACCTGGTACAGTACCAGCACAGCCGAAGAAGACCCAGCACCTTATTATGTAGATGAAAGCATTTATAGGCAAATAATCGACTTACCTCACGTGTACAACAGAAAAGACTAGTGTGTGCTATTGAAAAGCGTCATTGTCATTATACAGCGGCCTTGAGTTCGTACATCCGACTGTAGGCATTGGTTGGTACGAGATGTCATGAGTTGGGGATCTGCATCGGCCTTGGCCGAGATAATGGAAAATACGATTTTCCATTAATTTTTGTCAATCCATTTATTGTTAATATACCAAATGTAGTACTGTACATTGTAGAACCGATAGTTATAATTTGTTTAAGAAAGCACGCCATAAGTTTATAGTTAGATACGCCAACACCGAAGTGACCCGCGTTATTTTAAAACCATGCTTTATTATTGCACCGTATTTTAGTTATTTTACTTTATTTGTTAAACGTTAGTGTTAAAACTATACCTACATAAAATTACGTATATTTAATAAAACTTAAAATAAATAGAATATTAAAGTTTTTTATTAATGTGACTAAGCCACATTTAAGGGTTACTGTAGATATGGCTTGAATGCCATTATATTCGTTTAAAATAAATTCTTTAGTAGGAATAATTATATAAATATTTAAACAGTTACAGTGAGATCGTACAGTAAGCATATTTTCTCATGGGTTTTTTAAGTTTTTTTTAAAGGATCATATAGTTTTTCTAAGGTAGCGTCATTATTTTATTAAAAAGTTTAATAATTGTACGATCTTACCATATGTTTAGTTTCTTCAAATTTATTGTGTAGTAACTTTAACTATGCTGACCTTGTCTAGGAGGTGCTGGCGATCGGAACCCTCTGAGAGGAGGTTCACCACCAGCTTGCAGGTCTCTGTAGGCAGCTCTCCTCTCTGCTGGTGACAGAGGCGCCTCTGTATCTTCACGACGACGGAATACTAAGGTCGAGTCGGACTCATATCCTGATTCTTTAAGAGCCCTAGGAAAATAAATGTCTCTATTAAATAATTGTTTTTTTTTATAGTGATGGTTGAAGTGATTTTAAATCATTGTCGCAATAAGGGTTAAACTGGAAGGTTGAAGAATACTCAGATTTCTTCTCATCCTCATTTTTCTATTAGGTTTATCGATCTGGGATAAGCCAATGATAACCACCACATATCCAAGTTCAGTATCGATAATCGGTATCCCTTGGGAAATAAATATAAGTTTTTTTTGTGAAAGGAAAATCATTAAATGTCTTCTCCCGTCCAGGGCCGGGCGGGAGGGAGTGTCAGACTCTTACTGACTAAAAACTCCCCTGTTCCTTCTCTGAACCGAGGTCGCGGTGCCTCATTGCGCTTACCCCGCAACCCCGGCTGAAATAAATATAAGTGAATTCTCTTTTTCTTGTTAAGAAAAATATACCTAGTTAGATTTATCATCCATAGTAGTATTTACCTTTGATATAGGTAAACTTGCTTAATTCGTACCTGCGCCTAAATCGTACCTCGTCTATATCTCGGCATGGGTAATAGTTACCAGCGCCTCTGATGGCATAAAATGTCAATAATAGTCGGCCAGATTGCCATATGACAAATGAACACCTGTTACGTTGCTCCCGACAAAAATATTGAACGGGTAAGATTTTTCTCACTTTTTGAGTAATTTTTTTGCATACTTCACAAGAACTGTCTTCCAAGTATACCGTTCAGATGTTGTTTAACTGTTTATTATATATTTATACGTATATTTGTGAATATATTTCACATGGTAGAGCCGGCTTGTTCGTTGACAGTTTTTTTTGCGGCAAATTTGAAATTCATTTGATACTTGTGCCTAATTCGTACTCGCAGCAACTTCTTAAAACGTACGTACGTACGATTTAGGAAAACAATGTTTAATATCACAGTAAATATTAATTACTTACTTGATTATTTTTTAGTTTGTGTTTTTATTTAATAAAACTAAAAAAATACATTATTTTATCCAGTAATTGTGAAGTATGGGTACATGAGCTATGTGCAAGACGAGTTAAAAAAAACTAAATTTTATTACTGCGATGACTTTCAAGATTTGGAAAAGATCATCCGCTGTATTAATAAGAATTAGGTAATCTAGGTACATTAAGATTAAAAAGAGTAGAAGATTATTAAGATTGTGATTTTTAAGACTGTAAAACAATGATAGGATCTCAAAGTACGATTTAAGAATATACTGAATACTAAGAATGTACTTTTTTTAAGTTTTTGAAAATTGTTTATTTCTCAGAAGTTTATAAGATTTATGTTATTTTTTATCGGAATACTAATAGAACATTAGATTAATTATAACTACTTAATATAAATAACTATGTATCATATTTCATTATCAAAATTTTCGAGGTTCTCCTTAAGTGGTACTAATTAGGCAAGTTTACCCTACCTATGTAACGACTACAACATTAACTTTAGATTGAAATTTGTATAGTTGCTTTATATTGACTTACCTTGCCATATTCGATTTAGACAGGATAGTGGCTGTTAAATCCTTTTTCTCCTTCGGTGATGATTGTGGTAAAGATGTCGTACTTGAAATGTTTTGCTGCAAAATAATTAATTTAATATTAATATTTATTTATTTGAATTTAAGAAAACACAATCCTAACATAGAACAATATATTTCAGCTCAGTTTCAAGTGAGTTTCATTTAAAACATGCTGTAAAGCCGAAGAAATACATATATCACCATCTAAAAAAACTATGAAATGTATGAAAAAGAAATAATTCATATAATTATGTCATGCTAAAGTATATAAGAGAAAGCTCTATAGCAAATGACACACAGATAATACAAAATTTTGACACATGATATTTCCCTACCCATTCTGCAATATTTTAATAATAAATATAAAAAAGTAAAATAAAGTATGAAATACACCAGTAACATGCAAAAAAGTGAAAAGATACCCATCACCGATAAAGTAAAAAAAATAAAGATTATAATTTTATTACATTCTGGTTAGAACCTATACCTACGTACTATTGATTGACAACAAAAATATCGTTTTAAAAAGATTTTCAAGATGTATCTAAGTATTTTTATCAACTTTTATTAGGTGCTTCAATGTATTATAATTACATAATAATAATTATTGTCACTTTTTCAGCAGAGACGGGGATGTTCCTTGGTTGAAAATAAATTTATCGATGAATCAAAATGTAAAATCAAATGTTAAAAAGAAACATTTTATTTATACCAATCGAAATCAAATCGTCAGACCCAATCAAATCAAAAATAGTATAAAGTTTAACAAAAAAATAAGAAGCGAAATTTTCTTTAAAAAACGGGGAAATGTGTTATGAGAACTGATCAGATGATCTGACAACGTCTTCAAACATCTTCAAATCAGGTGTTTAACTTTTTTATCTAATAACAGTTCTATAAAAGAACTGTATATTGTTAACTATTAAGAATTTTGATGGCAAACAACAAAAGATACATAATAAACATCGTGCATGCAACACAAATGCTCACAACACAGGCATACATTCATGTTAAGGGCCTTACACTCTTCTGTATCGCGCGAGCTAGCAATGTTGTGTAGGGGGGAAGTGGGGAGTTGTCATCTAACCACTGTTAGTGCCACCACCACGCGAACCAGACAGCGATGGAAAACATACGTTAGTGGAACATAGTACAGGTGAACCCATAGCGTTATAATCAGTAGGCTTGAAGACACCATTTGACGGCATATTTACAAATATACCCAAAAAATTATAGGCTAAGCCAACTGTTTGGACACGATTATTTTAACAACAATTAGAAAAAAATTCTTTATTAAAATTATTATCACATTTTTTATAAAAATCCTCACCAAAAAATATTATGAAACACGAACGAAAATCGAAATGTTATGAATTTTATTAATGGTTATTATAACAAATACACACATAAATAAATAATAAAAATATCGTACCCCGTCAAAAATGTCCATGACCTCGTCCCACCACTAGAAAAGAAAAAACAATATTGATGATGTTTTCTATGAACGTGAATGCAGGCAGTTAGTCCAGATGGAGATGAGATGTGGAGGAATATAATCTTATTAATAAAAATAAATAGCTGTTCATAGGGTTCGCTAAAACTCGAGGATGACTGGACCAATTTCGTTGAATAATATCGTCGATTTTTGTAAATATTTGAAATAATTCTAGTAATGTTTAAGACAAAAAAAAATTCATTGACTATAAGGCAGTACAAAGTTTACCGGATCAGCTAGTGGCTTAAAAAACCTAATTTTATTACACTCTTTTTGGGCCATAGTGAAAGGTAACCATGCCACCTACAACGAAAAATTTAAAAATATTGAGTAGATAGAACTAGATGCGTTCAACATTTAAAATAAGGAATGTAATTGATTCCTATGCATTGTTTTCCGCAGATTTTTCTAAGATCGTTTTATGTTTTTAAAATGAGCAGGATTCAGTAACAAGAAAAACGTAATAAAAATGCATCTAATATAAAAGACTTATATTTCTTCCTACATGTAGTATGTATATAGAAGTCCTAATGATAATAAAAATTGCGAATGTGGGAGTGATAAAACTTCCCGAGCGCTCATAAAATGACACCATTTTTGTGAAAATGAATGTGATGAACCCAATGAAATGCAGATAGCTTGTTTGTGTGATGTGCAAGAGAGATGGAGTGAGGTTTACCTGTTTCGCTTCTTTGTCTACGACTGACGATTTTCCTGGTACGTAATTCTCTATTCTTCCTGGTTGGTTCTTGTACACTTCTTGACTTGCTCGTGCTGATGCTAGTGTGCTGTATCTGTAGGTGAAAATGGTTTTCTCAATTAATATCTCTATTTAATGTACCAGGTGGAAACTCTGAAGAAAGTAGGCAAGTAGGTATTCTTCCAGCACGATCTTAAAAAAAGGTCGTGGTGGCCTGGAGGCCAAGACATACGCTTCTCGTGCATGAGGGTGTGAGCACAGAGTGCGAGTACGAAACCTTGGAAGTATCAATGTGACCTTTTTGGATTGTAGTTTCTAAGATAATTTAAACACCAATGACATACGATGAATGAAAATATCGTGAGGAAACTTGGATTCATAATTTCTATTATAAGTTTCAAATCGCCAATACGCCTTAAGCAAGCTTGGTGGTTAATGGTCAAACATTTTTCGTGTGATAAGAGGGTTTTCTCAGCAATAGGCTGTTATAGGCTGATGATGATAGCAATATTTGATTTTAAGGCATCCATACAATAATTTAAATATAGCATGAGAAATATTAGAAAATGTTTACATTACTGGTTTCAAAAACCTCAACAATTTCCAGTTGACGCAAACAACATTTTATAAAATTGCCAGTTTTCGCAACCAGGAGATCACGATTCAAGCAATGTCAGAAATCACTGTTAGCGTGACAAAACTAAGAATTTAGATAATGCTGTAGTCATTCCCACAATTTAAGTACCTAGTACAATACTTTCATTACGAAATATGTTTGGCAAATAAGAGTGATTTAGTCTATATAACCAAACAAAATTAGGTGGTCCTTGCATGGAGAAACGAGCTCCTGTCAGTGGTCGTTTGGTAGAATTAGTGCAAAAAGTACAGCCTATGTTTTATTTCAGACTATATCTGTGTCAAATTTCATTCACGTCCTAATAGAAGTTTTTACGTAAAAGAGTAATAAACTAGTATACGCGCTTATTATAAGTATTAGTAGCATTTAAAATGGCGTTATTTTGTTTCTGCCTTAGGATAAAGGCTAAACTCTTGCGTTTGCTTATTTCTTTGATTCTAGGAATATGTAATACTTACTTATTGGTACTAGACGAATACTGTGAGTTAGAATCATTGTATCTTCTATCTTCCTGCACTGAAGCTGTCCTTCTTCGAGGGCCAGTTGTCACGTCGCTGTCATAAGCATCGCTCCACGTGCTGCTGCCCAACCTACTTAGACCCCCCTCCGGCTCACTCAGGTAACCGGAGCGTGGGTCAAAGTAGGCGTACTGGGATTTGTTGCTGAGGACTCTCTCTGGTGGTTGCCCTAAATAGAAATATTTAGGAATTAGCTGATAATGTAATTTGATGCCAAATTCCAAGCCAACCTTCAAACATATTTCTTAGGGGAATAAAATAAACACCCTTACATAAAAGGCAGATATTTTGTTCTGTCTATTAAAAAATAAATATGAAAAGTGAAAAATGTCGTTTAAATAATAGTAATTGCAATTTAAAAACTCAAAATTTAAAAATATTTTTTTTAGTAAATAGATTGTAGTAGTATTATCGTAATATTTTGCCTGTTAAAATTAACTTAGCAATGTTTTGCACATTAGTGCGTGGCGAAATCTAGCAGGCGTTGAAATTAATAAAATTTATGAAATTCGTATAATAGTGTAAATATGTTAATGTTTAAGCTTTTAAGCTGATGTTATAGTATTGTTACGAGTTGTTAGATATTTGTTTAATATTTTATTTTTAGAACTATTTCAATGTTTTTATTCTAATGCGTGACGATTAGTCATTTTTGTGAATTTATTTTTAATATTTTAAAAATACGATATCTTTAAAAAAAGCAATGATTTATATTTACAATGGCGCCAAACTTATGGAAAAAAAGCGTTTGAAAACGGCACAAATATGCGATGTAAACAGCCACCGATGTAACAAAAAAAATAATTTGGAAAAATAATTCTAATAATCACCTCGACGACTTTTGTATCGAATAGTCACATAATCGTCTGAAAAAGAAAATTAACAAAAATTGGGGAAACCTCATTTCAACATAATTATGTAGATACCTAATAAAATAAAAAAGGATAAAATTAAACAAAAGAGGACTTTATGCTTTTGTACTTACCGTCGTATTTGTTTTTGTGTATGGTGTCGTACATCTTTTTGTACCATCTCGAGGGGTCTTTGACCTCCTGTAATAGAAGAAAAGTATAATTGAATATTAAACCTTATAATTAATCAAGCAAACGTACTAAAACACGGTACTTGAAGGTAAAGAAACGATGTCCGAAAATTGCTTGGCAATGGTTATCTAACCTGAAGAGCGAGAATGATCGACTTGAAAGATGTTCTATAAGAGAAAGATATTTCTAGCCAGAATGGGTTGAAACGACTTTATGTAGTCATAATTCTTCTTGAATATTATATTATTTTACCATTAGTTTACAACACTTTCAACGATCATGTTAACATGTTCAGCGTTTAGTTAAGATGTTCAGTTGGTGATAAAAGTGTAATATGATTAAAAGACTTGGATCTTGGATACTTGACTTTAATTACACAGCACACATTCATGCAGCTCACTGCACCAGAGTTACATTGTCAATGGCCGACACTCGCTCGGCCACCCTCTTTATAGTGATATGACGACATAGACAATTATAGTGCGACACTTATTAGTATTACTAATCATAGACAATACAACAAAAAGAAGAACAGATTTTGTAAATGACGGGACATGTTTAAAAAAGAACAATAAAAAATGTTTTTCAAAAATCGATAAATTCTTAAGAACATGAAGAAGAAGAAACTTTTTGATGTAACCGAGCCGTAGACAGACAATTCTCTGTCTACGAACCGAGCAGACGGCTTCTTGGCGCTGCCGCATATGAAAAACCGCAACATCAGAGCACTAACGGATGCATTGCCAGTTTATTTTTGGGGATAAAGGTTTGGATTGGGGAAGGTGAAGGATTAGAGTTTTGGATTGTCCAGATCTACTACCAAAATGGAAAAAGTATTTTAAACACAACTGAATACTTACAGATCTTAGTGCGACTGGCATTCCGTCTTTGGTGATAGGTCCGATTCCTTCTACTTTTCTTTGGGCATCCGCCATTTTACGGATCCCTCCACGTTCGTAATCGCTTCTGTCGGCCTCGCCTTCGCTCGCGTATTCTTTTCGAAGAGCATGAACTGGAAAATGTGTAATTACTTTCATTAGGTCATTGAGATACAATATTTGTGTCTTTTTTATCACATTTGTTTAAGTTATTAACTAACATACGAGTAAATGTTTAAGTTTCAATTGTTTTCTAAAAAACCGGTTGTTTTAGATAAAAGACCTAAGTTTTCTTTAATAAAACTGACTAGCAAAATGTGCCTGAATCCTGCGTGGGCAACTGAATTGTATCCACACGTGAGGTTCAGAAAGCTAACTTTTGTTTGACAGAAAACTTAAACGTCTGAGTGATTTTAAGACATTAGTGTGAAATTGCTAATTTTAGGCCAAATGCCTATAATTAGATTTTTAAGATACATACATATATGTATTTATGATGTTATATCAAATATGTGATGATGTAAACAACTTTTTTTTGGGATTAGGATAGAGCGATAGGAGAAAATGAAAAGTAAATTCGAACTATAAGCGTAAGTTTCAAGCTACATTTTGAGGCAAAACAGAAGAGTAAGTATGTACCTAATTCAGTCACTACATTTTTCTATATGATATGAAGTAACTTAATGTATTACCTGGATCGCCTTTCGGTGGAGATGGACGGTCACGCGGCAATCTCGCCGCGTCTCGTTCCTGCTGGATGTAGTTTCCACGCGAAATCTGCCCTTCTGGAAACAAGAATACGATCTAATTAGTTTACTGTGTCACCACCAGTACTTGTAACTTTTTGTAGGTAACTAAAACTATTTGCGATACTTTTAACCTATGTTGGTATAACGGTTTTTACACACGTATGCATAACAGACATGACAAGACAAGTGTATGTCATTAATTTTTGTAGGCGGCAAACGCTGAGGTGGGATACCAAATAGTAAGCAATCGGCCCGGCCATGGATACCAGCGAAACCAGTGGAGTTACGATTGTAATTGTTGCCTTCGGGGATTGGGGTTTTAAAGATTTAGAATTAGGATTGGGGGACGTGAAGATTTGCGCCCCGGTAACCTCACTCACACAGCGGAACTCAACGCTGTAAAGCCGAAAATGAAGTCCGAGCCTCGGAGACGTTTATAAATTACTGATGTTTACAAATAACTTTTAGTACTTATTTATGTGTAAGTAGTAAGTACTTATACATTTTACTTTATTGTACACCATAATTATATTATAAAAAGGTCACAATTCTAAAATCAAAACGTACAATTTCTAGGATTCTCTTGCTGCTTTTGGAAGGGTTTATACCAACATTTAAAACAAACTAGACCAAAATAACACTACAAAAACATACGGTTTATAGGGATAACTTTTTCGAGCGTATCTTTTGTATATCTAAGCATCATTATCTGCTATTTTCCTCTGTTGTGATAGTTGTAACCTTCGGGTTGTCATCTTCACTTGTATCAAAGTTTACGACGGTTCGCGACCCTCGTCACCACACGTTATGGATGACATAATATCTTTTTCAAATTTATACATTAGCTGCTTATAAATAGAAGGATATGTTGCCTATTGGGTTGGACAGGTATCTGATACGTGTGTGGATTTATCTGACGCGATATGAGAGCATAATATTTTAAAGTATTCATGGAAACGCCCAGGCCGAGCCCTGTTAGGATGGGATGGAAATAATACGCGTTAGTGGGCGTTTACTGTGAAAGCTCGCGTCTGGTTTTTGTGATAAGGTGTAGTTGACATAAAAAACACTTAATAATGAATTGTGGCTCTTTTGTAACGGGCCTCACTTAGTATAAATTTGACTTTTTGTAGTTAAGTCTAGAATATAAGAATGTAGGATGAATCGAGAAATTATAAACAAATAGTTAACAAACAAAAAGTTATAAACATTTTTACTCCTTTTTGTTCTTATAAATACACTTTAATGAGTATCAAAACTAGACTCATCTATACTAATATTATAAAGATGAAAAGTTTGTATGTGGGTAATCTATGCCACCGTAGATCGAATTGCCAAAATTCTTTCAATGATATATACGCTACTAGCTACTGTCTCACGGTTTCACACGCTGCTCGGCTCCATTTAATCAAAGCGTCATGTTTTATAGCCTATAGCACCCAGGAACATTGTAACTATCTATCAGTGAAAGAATTTTGGCAATCCGACCAGCGGTTCCAAAGATTACCCCCTACATACAAACTTACAAATTTGACCTATTATTTATCATCTATAAAACGTCACGCTATGATCTGTCAAAGCCGAGCAGCGACCGAAACCACGTGATAGTAGCTAGAATAATATATTCTAGAAACCATACTACAATCATATCATAAAATACCATAAATACACTCATTCAGTTATCAAATGTACTAATCAGTATTCGACGCCAACAAATAGTTATTTAACGGTTGACTGAAGGTCAGTCAATATTGTTATGAGACGTGCTATTTGTCTGGATTGATTTAAAAATAATTATTCGGTTATTTGGTTCTTTTACCAGATTAATATTTTCGATTTTATTTTAGCGTTAATAGCGAAAATCAGTAAACCTCCCAACCACGTGACTCCACGACCTCAGAGAAAAAGGTCGGAGGTAATAAAACACAATGTTTTTCGCTATGTGAACAAAGTCCTCCCATCCCCAATCATCAAATCCCTAAACCCTGATAGGCAATGCATTTGTTACCCCTTGATGTTGCGTGGGCATGGGCGGCGCTAATTGCTTAACATCAGGTGATCCGTATGCTTGCCAAAGAGAATATAAGCACTAGCTACGTTTCTCGCTTGCCTCCTTATCCAATAAAATCATTCTTAAAGATGTGAGGGAAATAGGTGAAAGCCAATTCAAACTGCATTATCGAATATTTGCCCAATTAATTATTTTTCCAGTGGTTAAGTACGATATTTTTGCGAAATGTATAGGTATGCTTATAAACTATCATGCACCAAAATAGTACTTATTTATAAAAAAAAATCCGTTTTGTGAAAATATACATAACAATACAATAATAATGAGAAAATAAAAAACAATAAACTTTAATCACATAAATCTACATGATTTTATCTCCAACCTAATGAATTCCACAGTAAAATCCCGTACATTTACAAGTCACCAAGGTTCGTCAGTAATTATAACTTTTCCGCCATTTAAAATTCGGCCTGTTGTCTATGCGTAAGCCATTTAATGAAAGTTTCGCGGCAATTAGCTCCCGTTGCCAGCCAGCGTTCCAGAATAAATTATAAACTCTATGGTCCTCGATCCGACCGTATCTCGTGAAGTGTACTGTCGCTGTGGGAATGTTATTTAAATCATCAAGTACGTACTTTTTACACTAAAATAGGTTTATAGGTGAGGATTCGTAAATTAAATTTGGTTTAAATTTTTATTCGAAGGCATCATATTGTATATAAGGCCTAAAAAAAAGTTTTATACTCGGAATTTTAATTCCATTCCAGATTTGACAATTTCAGTGTTGCAACGTTATGACAAGCACTAAATAGTGACGTTGCGAAATTATTCGATATCGAATATTTTCGATATTAAATATTTCTGAACCGATAATTTACTTTTGACGATTAATTAACGATCTGAGACTTTTCTTTTATAATTGTGTGTGAATTAAGTAAAAAAATGTGACAGATAAAACAGATTAATCTATTTTATTTTATAATACTTATCTGTTAAAAAGTGTTTTTTTGACATTCTGCTAGTCTAAGTTCAGTTTACTTTCAAAAATCTCAGACTAAAGCAAAAAACCAAAGCGTTGGTTAACGATTTTAGTGTTCATCACTACACCATTATAATGTTGTATCATTATTTCACAAAATGACAGTATTTAATGTCAAATGTGGAATCGAATTAAAATTCTGCCTATAGTTATTGTAGCCCACGTCACAAAACATTTCATCAACGAAAAGTGTGTGGCAGGGAAGAAAGTTCAATTATAAAAGTAGATACTAAATATTTAGAAGCTCTTACAGATATATTGGGGGCTGAAAGTGAGGTGTGCTTAAAATCAATCAATATTTTGAGAGGGCAATATATTTTGTTTATCTCACGATGATGGATATGACAAGCGATAAATCGTTATTAGAGCCATGACGTTCAAGTTATTTCAAATTAAAAGTTTACGTATACCTATTTTATATTAGAATTATTTATTGAATAGGTAGATATATTGTGTTAAGACTAAGGCATTTTATTATCCGATTTTCATTCATGATTCATTGAAAAAAACGACATACTAATAAATTTTCAAAAGCTCGACCGGTTTCGAGTCATAACGGGACTCTTATTCCCGACGACGACTCAGGACGTGCAGCCGACTGACTCGAGCTTGCTTTTCTTTTCTCAGGTAATTCACGTGCAAAAGTAGTTTTTTTTCAATACGTACGTCACACAATACTTACCTTACGTTACTATACAAAAATATTAAAATATACATACATATATGAAAATATTAACGCTTGACCTTGAGTCCTATTGACAAATAAGGGTTACAATTTTCGACTCCGACCTTGATTGGCAATTGCTAATTAATTGCCAGGACGCTACAGAACTGGAAGCTCGTTTACCTACTATTATCGATGTTATTTTCGAAATAAATTTGCACTTTCTGGAGAATTAGTTCAAGATGTTTAGGTATTATTTTACCATTTAAGTAATGGCCTTAAGTAATTCTAAACGAAAGCGTACTTGTGCAAAACTTCAAGTGTTTCTGACACAAAAAATATAAAGTTTCATTAAAAATGCTCCAAGATTAAAAATTCTTTTGAAACCGAGCAGTAGGTCAGTAGGTTATGAAAACTTCTGGCCATGTAAAATATGCTTTATGAGAATACGTCTTCAGTAGATCCATTTAGGGTTTGATTTTAGATATCAGATTAAATATGTATCAAGATTTGTGGTTTAAGAAGTCTTGCAAAAATATACTCAAAAATAAGTGCTGCTTAATGTTTGTTTTAATCTGAAAAGGTCACTTTTTTGTCTAGGGAAAATCATTAAATGACTTCTCCCGCCCAGGGTGAGAGAAAGTGTCAGACTCTTACTGACTAAAAAGCCCGCCGTTCCTTCTCCTGCTCTGGGCCGAGGCCGCGGTGACTCATTGCGCTTAATCCGCAACCCCGGCATTAAGTGGTCACTTGGCTTATTGTATACATTATAATATACATAAAAATCCAATTTTCATAGATGCATTAATTACCAAAACCATTTGCTTAACTTGCTTTGTGCCTATTCAGTACATCACGATTTTTATCCTGCAAAAGGAGTAGACAGAGTTGCACGTATTAATTTGTGTAACTCCAACTTTTCAATGTTTTTTTGAAAGGGAAAGACATCAATGATTTAAGTACCATTATACTTTTCTTTGGGATCGAATCGAACACTATGTGCCGGGATTTTTTTATGGAAAATCCAATAATAGTTTTACGAGTCCGAAATCGAGACTGAGTTTTCTGCTTACTGTCATCTTGACCTAGGAGGTTCAAGAAAAAAATTTTAATTAGGCACTGGCACTTTGAAGATTTAGTTTTATTTTACTTAGTTTAAATATTCTTGAACTTAAGCTGGATTAATTATAGTCTTAAAACTGTCCCCGCCGCCACAGTAGGCGCTACTTCAGGCGTCGGGGATCGAGCCCCGGTCTCTGGCCGCCGTAGATGCGTTCTCCCGTGTCGTGGGTGCGTTTACAAACATACAATTTCACATAGACATATTACCTAGACCAAGAATAACAGTTTGTAGATCATACAAGGAGTTGTTCTGTGTGGGAATGGACGTCGCGACATGTTGCGCTGTAGCCAGTTTGCTCTTGCCACCACGATAAAAAAAGGAACTTGAATGGTTTGTAACGTTTCTTACCTCGTGCCTTCTGCAGAAGCGTGACAGTGGGGTTCTGTGCCTTGGGCAGCCGGCTGCCGAAGTTGGAGCCACCCAGGTTGCTAAGACCAGTGACGGGCGCACTGTGTGACGTCCTCAATCGACCCTCGCTCTCCGATCCACTTGTGGCGCCGTTCTGTTCGGAATTCTGTCAAAGAAAGTGTATAAAGTAAATGATTAGAACGTTCTAGAATTGCATGTTTGCGTGTGTTGCCAATAATGTGTACAACAGAGCCTGGAAATAGTCGCTATCGTTGATTTCAAAAATCGTTGATCATATGAGCGATATTTTTTTTTACTTTTATTTAATAAATCGCATTTAATTTTAAGATCCGTATTTGAGAATCATTGAATGTTATTTGTGATTTGAAATAGATTTCAGGACATTAGAATGTTCAATTAGTGAGTCTAATTTTGTAGTCACTTTGCATCTATAAGAATTTGCTGCAATTAGTGCTCAAAACACTATCCAAGTTACCAAGATTTACTATCTCAAAAATACATAAATCTGTTACTTGATAAAATATTTAAAATATACGATCCTTGGCTTTCAGAATTCTTAGAAGACGGCATGAAACTTTATAGCTTTGAAGTTACTTTCTTTTTGAAATGTGGCCAAAAAAACTTGTTAAATAAAAATGTTCCTCGTGTTTACTTGAATTCAATTATTCAACTTTCAAGTAGTTAAGTGGTTTAACAAAATTCTAAGATTTTACGATTCTGTTATGAAATGGCAGAAATTAATGGCCGTTTCTCTAAAGAGAATCGTTTGAATTACGATTATTAAATATTCATAAAAGACCACTGAACACTTTGACGGTCGTAATGCAATAAAATTTTCATTTAATTCGAATATTATTAATTGTTATCATAACCTCATTACACATAATAATTTTCTGTTTTAGTTTTGTTGTAAATTAATGTAATTTGAACTTTCTTGGAATGAGTTTATAGTTTATATTCGATATAACATTTTCACGTAATATGAACATTCATTTATTTTCATAAGCTAATTATAAACGATAAAATGTTTTTGTTCTATCTATTATCGTGGAGCTATTGATTTCCCTAGTGAAAACGAGGACTTACGTAAGTATAAATTAAAAAACAGAGATATTCCTACTTATTTAGGAGAACAACTTTAGTTTATGGATTCAACAAACTCTAAATCATGGTTCCGATGAATCAACGTTAGGAAGGGGACACCATTTTCACGTGCAGATAAATCCCATTTGTGGAAGTTAGAAACTGCACATAAGAGATGGCGCTAGTATCGCTTTTAGGCAAGAGTTTAATGATACTCTCTAGGAGGGACAGTTAAATGTGAAATATACAAACCTTGGTTACTTAATACGTGGATCATTACATTATATTGCTATGTCAGAAACAAAACTGTACTGTAAACTCAGCAAACTCATTTGCGTCCTACAGTCTAGTAAAGCATGCGGAATACCAGAAGAACAGACAAAAATAAAGTATCAAAAATAATAACAAGGAGTTGGTTTACCTTAATCATAAATATATCTAATCATTATTTAGTAGTTTGTGTTAATACTGAATACCTATAGTTAAATGTCAAAGTGTCCACAGCAACAGTAAAGGTTAAGGATATCTTTACGTGACATTTTCAAAGCTCGAATGAATAGTTTTTTTCATTTATATATAAACGTTTAATATTACTTTATATTCTTGTTATAAATATTGCCATCATAATCAAACAATTACTCTGTTGGGTTACCTATGGACTTTCTCTTATGTATCTTAATACCTACCTGGTAACTATCATCATCATCATCAGCCTATAAGTGCTTACTGCTGACCAAAGGCCTCTTCTCATACGGAGAAGGTTAAAGCATTAATCACCACGCTGTCTCAATGTGGGTTGGCGATTTCAAAGTTATGATTAGAAATTATAAGTCCAGGTTTCCTCACGATGTTTATCTTCACCGTATGTCAGTGGTATCTAAATAATCATAGAAAGAATATATAACTCGGAAAAAAATCACATTGGTACTTGCCAGGTTACGAACTTACACCCTCATGCATGAGAAGCGGGCTCCTTAACCTCCGGGCCTCCACGACATATACATAAGACGTGGTACTTATAAGTAGTACCAATTCATGGCTTACAGTGAAGTGTTGCAAGTGTCAGTAATACCGGAAAAGACTAACGAATGTGGTGACCGTGTGTGTATACTTTCGCTCGATCGCCGAAGCTTGAGGTTGTCATTAGATTAATTTTATTAGGCCTTCAATTTTTTTTTATTAATTACATTTAAAAGGATCAAATCAGCCTTTTTAAAACCTCCATCCAGCGGCCTATAACGTATAAATCAACAGAAACCAACATAAAAAAGAATTTTAAAAGAGTGATTTTCTATAAGTCTTTCAGCGCTGGCTTATACACGTGACTAAACTGGTCTCTGTAATAATAACCGTTTGCTACGACACTGCTGTTGTTGGCACACCCAGCTGAAACGGTCACGGCCGTCATCAGAACTAAACGGTAACATTTTATACTAGTATAGTTCATTATACTAATGTGTGTGTGAATACAGTTTTAAAATAACCGTCTTTTCTTAAAGGAGTTATTGTATTTCTCTGTCTTTTTTTATGGTAAAGGTCGCGTGCGTTCGTGCAGCGGAATGTTGTTGAATTTAAAGATTTTAATTATGCAGATATTTAGTGTATGACGTCGTATAATTGTGTATGGTAAAAAAAAATTTGTGCACGCAACCATTGTGAAGAAATTCACCAAAAACTGATTCCGCTGGGCGAACGTTGTCCTGGCGGAACTTTTTTTAATCCATAGACTTTAGAAGAAAAGAGATGTATCCAAAAATTAGTGTGTATTTGTGTGTAATTGTGTATGTATGAATAAAACTAGTGCATGCATAAACTTCGGAGAAATTCAAGTTTCCGCTACGCGAACGTTTGGCCATTAGCTAGTTTTCATATAAAGCGCTTACAAAGAGAGCTGTAGATTTTTACATCCGTTGTTTTGAATTTGTGTATATTTGTTTAAAAAACAGATTTAGAAAAAATCGTAGGGTTTAAAAGATAAAAATATAAACGTAAAATACGCTTATTAGGTCTTAGCTCTTAAAGTATGCACTTTAGGGTCTAGATTTTCACGTTTATACAAACCTTGTAAGTGTCTGCAACATGTTGCCAAGTATCAATGATGTTCCGTTAGTAATTAAATAGTTATAGGACAAATTTACCATGAATAGATCACTGTTTACAAAGCAGTCAAATATCACGACGTTCTAAATGAATGGCATGGTAAAATGTATGCCAATAATTAGTGTATTCATTCAACTATTCACATGCAAAATTTCATGTCATTAAATTCAGTAATTAAAGAAAAACAATTATAATACTGACGAAGTATCGAAAACCTACATAACCCGACCAAGTTCGGATGGCTACAAAAAAGCGGCTGTTCAATATATTTAGGTAACATCCCAAAATTTTCAGTATAATACCGGTATTGAATTGGTACAGGTGATAACACACTTGTTGTTTCGAAATAATTTATAGGTCATTTATTTTTGGACACCTACTTTTTTAAATGTATTTGACTATGACAGAAAGTAGGTACTATTTACGTAGGTATTTTATTTAAGTATGCGCTTGAGATATAATCTAATTATATTTAAGACAAATAAAATTCATACAGCTAATTTCTATTGAAGATTTCACGGATCAGGATTCTAACTATAGACCCCTTAGGGAAATTAAATATTTACCACATGTAAGTACTTAAGTACTACTGTTTAGGTAAATATTTATCATATTGTAGCTGATTACACTATTTAACCAATATTTTTTATTACACTATTTAACCAATAGCACGAGCGTGTGTGCGATACTGTTTTATTTTTTCCTAACGCTTGTGTACGATAATGTACCATATTAATAAATGCTATATTGGAAAGTTAAGAACGTTTCTTAGATATATGGCACGGCCGCTTTTTTGTAGCCATCCGAACTTGGTCGGGTTATGTAGGTTTTCGATGCTTCGTCAGTATTATAATTGTTTTTCTTTAATTACTGAATTTAATGACATGAAATTTTGCATGTGAATAGTTGAATGAATACACTAATTATTGGCATACATTTTACCATGCCATTCATTTAGAACGTCGTGATATTTGACTGCTTTGTAAACAGTGATCTATTCATGGTAAATTTGTCCTATAACTATTTAATTACTAACGGAACATCATTGATACTTGGCAACATGTTGCAGACACTTACAAGGTTTGTATAAACGTGAAAATCTAGACCCTAAAGTGCATACTTTAAGAGCTAAGACCTAATAAGCGTATTTTACGTTTATATTTTTATCTTTTAAACCCTACGATTTTTTCTAAATCTGTTTTTTAAACAAATATACACAAATTCAAAACGACGTATGTAAAAATCTACAGCTCTCTATGTAAGCGCTTTATATGAAAACTAGCTAATGGCCAAACGTTCGCGTAGCGGAAACTTGAATTTCTCCGAAGTTTATGCATGCACTAGTTTTATTCATACATACACAATTACACACAAATACACACTAATTTTTGGATACATCTCTTTTCTTCTAAAGTCTATGGATTAAAAAAAGTTCCGCCAGGACAACGTTCGCCCAGCGGAATCAGTTTTTGGTGAATTTCTCGACAATGGTTGCGTGCACAAATTTTTTTTTACCATACACAATTATACGACGTCATACACTAAATATCTGCATAATTAAAATCTTTAAATTCAACAACATTCCGCTGCACGAACGCACGCGTAAAGGTCGGCAAACGAGCAGACGTGTTACCTATATTATAGTGTGGGAGAGCGATGCTTCGGCACGAATGGGTCGGCTCGACCGGAGTGATACCACGGCCTCACACAAATACGGCGTGAAGCTACCACAGCATTGTGTTTCGCCGTGTGAGTGAGTTTACCGGAGGCCCAATTCTTCCCCTCCCCCAATCCCTCCCTAATCCCCAAATCTCCAAATCCCTAATCCCTTAAAGGTCGGCAACGCACTCGTAACTCCTCCGTTGTGGGTGTCCATGGGATTGCGTACCGTGAGGTAATCCGTTTCCTCTTTTGCCGACCGATGACATAAAAAATACAAATAATTCGCGGGTTGGATTTGCAAGAGAGAGCACGTATTTTTTGTTGACTTTCGAATATTTAAATTCATAACGTTTTTAATTTTAAAAGTTCTTCACAAATACCTAGTCACAGAGTAATAGTGTTTGTCACAACCCTGAATAAATAAAACCAACTTGGCACACCACCTGCCAGCACATCAACATATTTTATTTAAAAGTTAAAAGTCATTTTGCACACACACTTCACTATGACACAAATTGCTGAAGTCCTCTCCAACCAGAAATCCTTGGAAGAGAGGTTCACACCCTTGGAGGCGATGTTCATGCAGAAGATGGAAGCAGTTCAGGCTCAGATCCAGGCAGCCGGTCCCGCCAAGGATACCATCGCTAAAGTGGCTGAGGAGTTCCGAACATTCAGGGAACTAATGTTCAGCTTGCTGGGGCTTCTGCGTCGTCAGATCACCGAGTGCTCCCGGCAGATAGATGACATGGAGACAAGGAGTCGACGTAAAGCACTGATCATGCAGGGTATACCTGAAAAAGAGGGTGAGGATTGTACGGGACTTGTGTTAGATGTTATCAACACTAAACTGGGCCTTAATTTCACCACAACTTCCATAAAAGCCTGTCACAGATTGGGACAGACAAGTGCTGACCATCACCGGCCCCTTCTTATCAGGTTCGCAAGCGTGGACAATAAATTGTCAGTTTGGCGGGCCAAAACCAAATTGAAGGGTACCAAGATTGCCATCAGGGAGTTTTTAACAAAGGAAAGGCAGAATGCTTTCTTGAAGGCGCGTCAGCATTTCGGTTTGCGGTCTTGCTGGACTCAGGATGGCATCATACACATAAAAGCACCTGATGGAAGCAGGTACAAAGTGACTTCAACGGTAGAGCTGAATCCTATTCTGACCAAGTACCCGAGGATGCAAGGTGCGTCTTCGTCCGGTGCCAAACGGAGTGCAGAGGAGACTGTCGGGAACCTGAAAAGTACACGCAGATAAGTACCTTCCATCTAGCAGTATTAGACGCACTACAAATACAAACACCACTCAATATTTGTCTTATGTACTTACCAGTCTGTTTGATGTCCCATCACTTGGCATTAATTTTAAATATTTCCATTAAAATATGTTTGTAACCTTTGTCTTTGTCCTTAATTTATCAATTTGTTTCTCTTGTCTCGGGTAGTTGTATCTTTTAAAGTTCACTTATTTTGTTTTACCTCCTGTTTATATTTGGATATCTCACAACTTCTCTTTGTTTTTACTTTTTGTAAGTTATTTAAATCGTTCATTAACCGTCATTTACAACTTATTATTTTATTTTTACTGATCTAATTAATTTATCTGTCACGTTTAATTTTTGCTACTGATGACAGATTGACACTTGACGTTTGTTTATAACAAAACAGCCGGTTTTCTATTACATTTTTTTGCGTTTTTTTAAGTCTGTTGAAATTTGTATTTATTGATTTTTATTTTTTTTACTTTTTTTGTTAAGTTTTGTGTTATTAATAATTATTGTGTTTTGTATGCAAATTTTACTGTTATTTAAATGATTGTTGTCAGAATAATGTCTCTTGCTAGTCAGTGCCGATTGCAGTTTACTTTATTTTTGTTTGGTGTTTTATTACTTGTTTTGTGCGTTTTGATGCAACCGAGGCATACTTTTAGTGTGTTTATGTTGATTGATATTTTTCATTTGTTTTGTTTTTTTTTTTTTTTTTGAATTATTTTGACTTTTAATATCGTCATGTAATGTTTTGTTTTTTTTTTCTCTTTGTTGATGTCGGCTGGTGGGTGGTGCAGGGTTGTACTAACAATTTTTTGTCAAGCAAACAATTTTCCATAACACATAATTATTTAGGCATCCTTAGTATAAAATAACTATTTGTATTTATTATACATACCGTATCTATATATTTCTTTTATTGTTTGT